GCATTAATACACAACGTTGCCTCTGTGTTCAGTTGGCAATGGTGCACCAGCACAGCAAGCACATTTTCCATCTCAGTTAGGGGAAATAATGAAATGGCAGTTTTGACTTTATAAAACTAAATTGTGTCTTATCTGGAGAGGGTATTTGACTGAAAGCGAATCATTTACATCTGCAATGTGCAAAGAGTGTGAAAGCCTTTTCTTCCTTCTTTTTTGGTTCAAATACGTAAGTATTAATAAGTATTAAGTATTAATGGTATTATGATTTAGCAACTTTTTAAAAAACAGACAAACCCAGAAGTGTCTTAGTAAGGAGGGCCATCATGTGCCACCAGAACAGCTTCAATGCACCTTGGCATTGATTATGCAAGTCTGAGACTCTACTGGAGGGGTGAATACAATTCTTCCAAAAGATACTCCCTCATTTGGTGTTTTGATGATGGTGGTGTAGAGTGCTGTCATAGGTGATTAACTGGGTTGAGATCTGGTGACTCTGAAGGCCATAGCATATGATTCACATTATTTTCATACTCATCAAACCATTCAGTAACCCCTCATGCCCTATGGATGGCATCATCATCATCCTGGAAGAGACCACTCTCATCAGGATAGAAATGTTTTGTCATAGGATAAAGGTGATCAGTCCGAACCACTTTGTATTGATTTGCAGTGGATCCAAACCATGCCAGAAAAAGGGCCTCCCACAGCATAACAGAGCCCCCAGATCCCCTTACTGCAGGGGTCAAGCATTCAGGCCTGTACCGTTCTCTTGGTGTACGCCACACATGCACTGGCCCACTTGTGGATAATATGATGAAGGATTACTCATCTGACCATATCACTTTTTTCCACATTTCTAAAGATTATTGCCTGTGGTTTTTGCACCAGTGAACAAGTATCCCTCTCTACGTAATTTGTATGGAACTGTTCTTGCTGACACACTCTGATCACGTGCTGCACTGACGTTCTCAGTCACCTGATGAACAGTTGATTCTTTATATTTCCTTACATATCGCACTAACACATGAGCATCCCAGTCATCAAATGTGCTCTGTCAACCATAATTTCCAACCCTATTTACTGACGTCTTTCCCGTAGATCTAAATGCAGATGTCACTTTAGTCACTGTTCCTATTGAAACACCAGCCAGTTGAGCAGTCTCTGTGACTGACGCTCCTCCCATCCACGCCCCAACAATGAAACCTCTTTCAAAGTCAGTTGGATCTTTTCCTTTTTGCCATCTTTGTACAAAATCAAAATCAACTGGGCCTGCTCAGCATTTTTATACCTGTCACAGAGCATGACTGGATGTTAAACTCTTAGCAGTCTAAGGGCTATTTTGACCATTGGTTTGATCACGTTGGCGTGATCAGTGACTGCTGAAGGTTAATTGTGCCATGCATTGCACCTGTGTGGAAGCAGCTGCATTTGTTATGTTTCTCCACTAATTTATTCAGGTTTTGCCTTTAATGTGTCCCCTCTCTGTATATTTCCTATTGGAGACACTGTAAACACAATTATTTCAGTATGTGAAAGGAAAACACATAAAAAACAACCATAAAGTACATTTCCTAACAAATCTGAATGTTCTTACCCACAAAACTTTGTTTCTCTGTGTCCCACAGTGGGGCAGCTCGCACACCATTTGCAACCAAGGCAAAGAATGCTTTCTTAACCTGTCAAGCAACATTTGAAAGGAGAAAATGAGATTATACAATAAGATCATAGATCAAAGATCAAACTTCACAACATGTGACTATCCTTTCTACAGCTGAAACAGTCTATTAATCTATATTTATATAGGATCTGTAACAATCCTGACTCCTAATGGTTGGAAAAAAATCAAGATATTTCACCTGCAGGCTCCCAAAACTTGTAATGGGAATTCTTTACATTTTTCTTGACAGTTCATAGACTGTTTAAGTGAAAAAATAATCAACAAATTAATGTCTAATTGAAAATAATCTTTAGTTGCAGCCCTGATCATTATCTGAAGGCATCACATTCACCAGTAGACAAACCTCTTTGAAGTGCTTTTTAAACTACTGATGGTTTTGTGTTGGTTTTAGTATTTCCACCTCTTTTAGATAAGGGTTCTTAACCCTTGGCTTCAGTGGATTTAGTGGTTGAAGATCTACACATCAAAGAGGCCGGACCTCCAAAGGATTACTGTTTAACAACTTTATGACAATCTCATCAACCAACTCAAAGAAACTGCTCTGAGGCAAAATAACCCTTCGGATTTTATTGAACATTAACTTCAGCTCTTTCAGTTCTCAAGACTAGCGACCTCAAAATCATATATGGTATTTTTCTCTTATTTATTTTTTAATTTATTACTTTTATTTTTACCACTTTTTCCACCAACTGTGGTGCAGCACACTTTGACGATGATGACGATGAACCATTTGTCATACATTTTAGGTGCTATCATGAAAAGGGAAGTGCAAATACAGAGACATAGGGACAATCAGTACTAACTTGGAGTGCTGTGTCGAACACAACCAGCTTCGAGCTTGTTGGGACGATGTCGTAGCACTTGTGGGATTTCATAAAGCGCATGTAAATATCACTCTCAGGTTCAGCAGCTGCAAGTAAAGAAGGCAGGAAAATACTTTTGGAGGAAGGATAAATCTCACAGGGAATATATAATGAGCGCCTGGAAACAAAACACACTCTCAGAGCCTAAACAACCATTACGCTTTGGACCACTTACTGCCACTTTACTGCTCCATCTCACTGATAATTACGCTCTGCTTTAAGCACCAACAAGCACAAAAACAGTGGAAAAACATGGGAAGCAAAGTACTGTAGGAGCTTAGATCCGTCATAGATGATGCACTTTGAAGATTACAGTAATTTTTTCCCCACATGTGGTGGAGAAACACTGAGCGGATTAGTTTGACTTAAAATAATTGTTTGTTCCAGCTAAATAAATGTAAAGATTTGCAACTCTCCTCTTTTCATATCATTGTAAACAATAAAAATAAAGGTTTTGGACTGGTGGTTAGATATTATTGCATCTTTTAGATGAATAAAATTGTATTCATTTATTAATGTATGAATTGCTAATTGTATATGTAGTTTTAAGCTTATAGCTTTTAACTGTCTTATTTCTTTTCCTGTCTATGTGTGTGTTGATCTGGGAAGCCAGATGCTGGAACATTTGCCCAAACAAGATTGTATAAAGTTTTTCTGAATTCAATCTAATTAAATCATGACAGTAAATCAGAGGACTTCATGTATTTATATTTTACAGACAACATGATCAACTAATCAAAATCATTTCCTAAAACATATGCTGCACCATGATCAAATGTAGAGGAAAGGCCTGTTGAATATCTTGTAGTCTCTCTAGCATTGGGTATCTGTCATCCTTCATCGATACCACTGCGTTAAATTCCCATTTAAACCAATGATTAGACATTTAAAAGAACAGGTGTTATAAACAAACCGGTGAAGTCAGCAGGCTGGAGAGGGAATCCCTTACATATATGACACAGATCAGAGTGGATGAATCGCACTGTCAACACAATCTTTAAAACGGATTTAACTCTAACATCTGTGACTTGGTAAAATATCCTCTTAAACTCGCAGCATCACTGAAATACCAATGATACCCTGATCATCTTTGCAATACATTAAGCCCGGACGAATTGCGTTGAAGGCATTAAAAACAGAGCAGTGGGTCAGCAGATACCGCATCGGGACACTTACCATCATCATCTAGTTCAAGTTTCTCCAGCATGCCTTCGAATAGACCGTAGACCTATGAGAGGGGAGGAGAAGGCAGAAGTTTGCAGTGAAGAGTGCAGCGGATCCTCACAACAACACACGGTTGCACACGACTAAACTTTGCTGTGAATTGTGAGTTAACAGCAGACTGAAGCGACTTTCCACCAGCGGCCCCAGCAGACCGGTCACATCGAGTCCAACTGTGGTGCGCAAACATAAAAAATAAAAAAATAAAAAAAACCGTCGCGCGCCACCAGCGTTTTACCGATTACATAAAGCTCCTCCAACTCCGCTAAATATACACAGGTAACGTGACAAACACCTTGTACTGTGGAGCTGCAACTTTAGTCGCACATTATTAATAGACTATACACACACCCCTCAAAACTCGGAGTGGAACAGTCCTGATCCATTTGCTGCAGTAGGGGGAACCAATGCGTACACGCTGCTCAAAACAACCACTTCACTAAGCGTGTCAGAATAAGTCCCACTACAATAAACCAGATGAATTCATTGTTAAAGCCATAATCTGCCAAACATAACTCACCGCAGGAAAAAATCTCTCGCATGAAGCGTGGGGATAATAAGCAGGAAGCTCCACGCACTGTGGACACACCCCTCCATGCAGAGCAACCTGGGTGCTTCACCATATTAGGAAATCCCTTACGTTGCTAAGCAGCAAGAAGCTGGGGATGCCTAGTCACATCCTCTGTTCATTTCGTCTGACAAATCGAGCAACATGGTTGAGATCTACAGATACAACTCCACAGCTCTGCTCCTTGGCAGCAGCAGGAAGATGAGAAAATGACAAGCAAATTGTGCTTTTTGCATCTCACACACAGCACAGGCGAGTTCCCAGCATGACATATGCTGTGTCATGCTGAGATATTAGCATGCTCAAAGTGTGCTTGTGTATACATGATTTCCCATAGTCCCTAATTTATTCAGTGTATTCACAACAAGCCACTGCAGCAGTATGAGAAAGCCTGTATACCGGTGCTGGGATGTTAAACAGTCCCTGGTGTCGTCCTGCAATGGTGACACAGCACTTCTCTTGCCAAAAACTACTCCTGCGCTTTCATAAATCTTGCGCTGCTGCATCACAGCAGGCATGCAGCCTGCTCTGGTATTACAGCAAACTCCAGGGAAGCAGACATTCACAAATCCATTAAATAAATTGCTTTAAAAAAATAAATTTGGCAAAAAGTCAAATCAGAAGATTATTTGTGGGCCTCCATTTATGTATGATGGGAGAGGAGGGGACACAGAGAGGCTGACAGGCACTGACTGGGTGTTAATATCAACAGTATACAATACTGGTGATGAAATATTGATTTAGCCACTCTGGCTAGAACCCACAATCACTCACAGCAGACAGGTCGAGACAGACCTTCAGATAATTATTCATTAAATCTGCACAGCCATGGAGTCATTCCTCACTAGCTGTAGATGTCTGGTCTCCCATCCTGACTCAGACTGCCTGAATCCTAATAAACCTTCAGAGAAAAGTCTTGTTGTGACAAAAGACTAAATTTGCTCTCAGCTGTTTTTGCAGTAACAGTCAATTGTGCAGCCACTTAGCTGACATCTAACACGGTTTGAGACATAGCCTCAGTGCTGAAACAATATTTACACCTTCTGTTCTGCCACTGATGCTCAGAGCAAATAGTGCAAACATGGGCTTGTTGACACAACTGCATGGTGAAGTATCAGAGCTTGAATTGAAGAGATTTGCATCTTTCATGCTTTCTGTTCACCACTGCCCAACTAAACCCTTATGAGTCTGAGTAAAGTAGCACATGACTTAGACAGAAGGCATGTAAGGCCACTTTTATGTAGCCACAAAGAAAAACAATTATCAGCTTCAACAACCCATGACCAAGCAGTTTTATCAGTGCTTTTCAGAAAATACAGCTTAATATTACCGATACTGAATTAGTGAAAAGATACAGCATTTTATCTGCAAATTCAGTTACATATTTAGACTTATTTTTTGAGTAAAAGCAATAAATATTTCACCCATTTTTTACAAAATCCCATGCATTTGTTACTTCTAAGCCACAGAGCTCACAAGCAGGAGCAGAACTGTCCTGAGGCAAACAAACAAATATCATGAATTCTTAAAATAGATGGCATTCCGATTTAAATGGCTACATAAAATGAGTAGCATTTTTGCAGTGAGACTCACTTGATGTGAGGTAGAGTAAGATGGCACAGGGCTTGAGGAAGGGATGGGGGGTTTAGCAGAGGGGAGGCTGAGACGCTGTCCTGTGTCTGGAGGTGTGGTGAGGGAGCGGGATCTGGAGCTCGGCTCCAAGCGTTCAGGGCTGGGCCCGCTCGGCTGGGCCTCCTGGGTGAACACAGGTTGGCTGGACACCTGGGTCGGGGTGGTGGGTGGTGTGGAGAGTCCAGAGGCTGCGGAGAGATAAAAAGGTCCGGAGTAGATACCTCAACTTATCTCTTGTTTCTCTGGATGTCAATCCATACTGCGCTGGCAGTGACACTGAGACGCAGTGCGGATTGACATCGATGATAGGCTTAGTTGTTAAGACTGAGGTGCTACAGTCGTGACTGCAGCAGATACCATCAATGCTGTCACATGCTCTAAGAGAGAAGGAATGCACATCTGATCCATCTGGGCCTGGCAGTCCTGAGTACTGAGAAACAACAAAGATACCAGAGTTTAATCCACAGCCCAGTCACTAACAGACAGGGATGCAGTAGGTAAACAAGCATTACAAATACAGCTAGAAAACTGAGTTACATTAAGCATCACATTAGCAATATGTTTGTGCTTTACCAGATGTATGACAACCATCATTTTTAGGAGTTTTCAAAAAACATATAACAACACACTGAATAAATTATAGAGACAAAAAAATATGGGTTTTTTGTATTTGCTGTGGGGCTACAATAATATAAGGAGTTTCTGTTATTTTTTTCTACCCAGTGTGGATGAAAGGTTTAAATAAAAAACTTGATCATATACCAACCCCTGAAACTATATGTAGGCTGGATTGTGCTGTCAAAATAATTTTACATCTTTTTGGTAATCAGAAGCTTGATAGATGCATTTTTAAAAGCTCAATCAATGAATAATATATTTAAGTAATGAGAAAACTCATTGTAAAACATGGGTTCAAATTATAAAGGCCCTATGCAGCCATGGATCACCCACACAGGTGTTTTCACTTATTTTGTCAATTAAGACCTCATCTAAAGACTGTGTGTGGGGGTGTAATTACAGCATAGCTCCACCCAACTTCAACCTCTAATTAACCAGAAGTGAAAACACCTGTGTGGGTTTGCTGAGCCTGTCATTTTTGTTAATCTAATTTCAGGTGTGTTTTCCAATCTTATTTTGTTTTATTGCCTGCTTTTTTTTTCTTAAAGTTGAAATGTTTGTTTACATCCACACTTTAAATTAGACCCAGTCCCTGGGGCTACATGATGCTGCAGGCACCTTCTACATTCAGGAAGAGGTGGGTTTAACCCTGCGTGTGATCAGAAGGCAAAGGCAAACCTGTGAGCGCTCCTGTTACGTTTCTCTGTGGGTTGCACCTTATTAAATTTTTAGTGTGACAAATTGGCTGCATCATGTCTTGAAAATAAAATGTGGATGATAGATAAACTGTAAATGTTAAAAAGCCTTGAAACAAATCACAAGAAGACACAATACCAAACAGATTTATCAAAAGTAATCGTTTTTAAAAATGTATTAATTAACTAACTGATTATATTTAACTGCTTACTCTAGGCGATAATTATTCCTGTGGCATATTCCTCAATAACACTGCAGTGAAAACAGTGACAGATGTTCTGCACATCTGCATCCCTCTGACTGTATTAATGAAAAATCCCTTGATGGCACTCCAAAGCTCATTTCATCTAAACTAATTCTAAACTTTAAAAAAAAAAAATCAATCAGCCAGTCAATAACAGATCACTACTTGGCAAAAGAAACACAATGAATCATGCAGGTCATCTTCTCTTCCTGTCTCATGAGTCCCTCCATAATAACTAGGCTGATTACAACATAAGCACCCGCATGAAGCCTAAGTCTAGTGTAACAGTCAGCTGTCCGTGATGCAGTTCCTCCTGTGACAGTGTCAGGGTGAAGGTGTCAGTCACATGACAGCCCCTGCACATATTCAGGCGTCACAATCTTATGCACGGTGGTGACATGCGACACTCGCGCTGCCTCGGCTCCACCCCACTGACATATTTCTGAGGCCAGACAATGAGGGACATGGATGATGTGGACCAAATGGTTCACATTACAGGACCTCGACCATGAGACTTCCAGTTGACTTTTATCATGTCCATATATCCAGCACTGGTGACAGTAATGCCAAGACTATGTAAATGTCACATGAGAACTCAACCGCCCGCGTGTTTCAGTAAATCATCCATTTGACTTGGTCATTTGTACCAAACTGAGATCATTAAGTAATTTGAACATATGACTGAGAAATGGGTTTAGTGCATATTCCTTAATTTGCACAGAAAGAAGTCCCTATATCAGCAACATGGTACAGTAATTTCACCTAATGTTATGTGATAAACCTTTTCTGCGATCTATACATGAGCTTCAAAAAGGAGAAGAGTAGTTTTTCATAAATAAGTCGCAGTGTGTCGGGCGACCATTTTTCCTTGGTCTGTCCAAGTGCACTCCACACTATCTCTTGACATTTAGTTGGTGTGCACCGGCCCTCTTTGGTGTGCCCTGCTTCCGCTGTGTAGCCTTCTTATTTTAGCCACGCTGTTGTGGCACATTCCACAGGAGGAGATAACAGTGGGGCTTGAAGCCCTCTCCTAAAACTGGTTAATAGGGGCCAGCTTGACACCACCCAGGAAAAAGGAAATAGATGTCTTGCTTTAAGTAATCCAGCCCATCTAACTTTACATGCATTAAAAAAAACCTCACACAGTGCCCTATATAATATTCTAGAGTGAGGGTATCTATAAGAACATACTGCAGACTGATAAGATGTCCTGATGTAACAGACACAGCTTTGTGTATGCAGGAAGACAAAAGAAGCATTGATTTAGAGAAATTAATCAATTATACAACCCACAGAAAATTTATCTGCAACTATTTTAATAAATTCATTTTTTTTGCCTGGAAAGGCCTTAAACAATAAATCAAATATTACCCCGTCCCAGCCTCTCAGTTGTGAGGAAAAGCTGTTTTTTTCCTAATGTGATAGTGGAGTAACTATTTTAGGGTTTTGGCTAAGGGATTTGGTTGGACAAAACAAGCAATGTGAAGATGTCACCTTGGGATTTAGAAAAATTCAGATTTTTATCTGTACTATGTACTATATTTTCAGCCCTAATATGAATTGCTAAACAAAAAATCTGCAATGTGGGCATTGATTCAGAGGTCTGTAACCAGGCTAATCTCTTCTGTTTGTTTTAATGTAATTTACTGCAATGCTGTGTTAGGGCAACACCTTTAAAAGCAGATCCTCTCAATCTGGGTGCCCCCTGAGGAGTCAGGAGAAAACAGGGTGTTTTTCAGTCACGTGGGGCTATACTGACTGGGAGCAACGTGAGCCCCATTGGTTGACGTCAGAGCAGCAGTGAGGCCTACACAGGCCCAATGGACATGCTGCTACAGCCATCTCTGGCCAGCTATTTAACATGATGAATCTCAACTGTGAATGACTATGTTTATAGAAGCACACTGGTTAGAACTGGTGTGTAGATTGTGAAGCAATAGATGATATAACAAACAGTCAGTAACCCCAATTAACAACACCATGCTAGGTATACCATAATACAAGCTCCCAGTAAAAAGGTTCACAATGTCACGTAGGTGTGCAAACTGCATCGCAGCAAAACATTTATGTGAGCAGTCAGAATTTAAACTAACATACAGTGTTGCTAAGAAGCACACAGATATCCTCTTAACTAGCCACTTCTGAAATTTCACACGTAAATGTCAGCTCCTTAAAGGGTGCAGTGAACACACAGCAACATAGCTGCAACCTCCACGTTGTGAGGCTCTGGATCAAAGGACTTATGGTTTAGGCTGCTGTGTCACCACATCATATACTGCTTTTATGACGAAGTCTATATCCTATACAACAACATATGGATGTACATCATTATGACAGGACTCTGGTCCTCTCATCTACTCCACCGAGGTCAGACTGGCTCTAAATCAGGAGCTGTGAAGTCTGTGATAAAGTGCCACTTGAACACCACACAGTGTGTGCCCCAACACTTCACTCATCAACCATTATGAGCAAACACTTTACAATAACTGCATTAAGTGCGCATGGTGGTCTGGACTTTTTGTTTGGCATCTGTCATTCCTGTCGTGGTGGTGTCGTGCTACCTATAATGTAAACCTGAAAGAATATTAAGCAATAAGAGTCTGATCCAAAACACAAGGACAAGCTGCAAAGATTCTCACTAGTTAAGCTTTAACGGTTCCTGTCTATTTTAATAAAGTTTTCAAACTGGAGCAGATATTCTGAAGAGACTCCCTTTGAATATGGGACAGAATAATGACACTGAACTTACTGTATCAAGTAGCATGGCTATAAATTACTCCACCATAATGGCAGGATTACTAAAAAATAAAAACAAATTAAATTTTTGCTGTTTCATTTCATTCACAGCATTATGTGAAACGACTTCAGTTAATTTTCACATACCATTACAACATTTAAATCACTGCAGATATATTAATCACTTACAATGCATGAAGCGCATTGCTGTATGTGCAGTGATTAAAATGTGTCTATGTATATGAATTTTGCAAAGTGATTAGTGACCTCTTGCCTCTCACACACAGTTTTACCACTTTGGCTTGTGTCCTGTCACTTTGTGCAGATGCTTTGAATGCATATGTGAAACCAGAGAGCAGCCACATAAGCAGAACCTAAACTATATGGAGCACCTATGGCTACAACAGCATTCAGGACATAGATGATACCAATACCAAATAAATAAAAATATAGATGCTCACTCTTTGTTCAATCGTAAGAATATTTATGCAGGATTACAAAAATGTATCATATATTATTCTGAAACCTTTAAATGTACTTAAGAGAAGATTATTGGACTACTGCAACAAAACGCAACAAAATTTCAAGACAAAGGTCTAACATAGCAGGTGAAGAGCACAACACATTACCAGAAAGACATGATGCCTCGGACTGATGCCTCCCTCCTAACCCATCTTGCTCCTTCCGTTTCTTGCTCCTTCTTAGACTGCCAAACCTCTTCATGGAACACAGTGGGTTGTGGGCTCAAAACTAAATCTGACCATGACCATCCACATCACGAAAGGGGAGCAGAAATGGCTTAAAGTGAGAGTCACTCCATTTCTAAGTGAAGAAAGTTGCGCAGAAGTTAAGGTGAAAGGTATATCCAACTGAGAACATCTAGAGAATGGTTAGTCTTTGAAGCGATTTGATCTGTTTTTAGAAGAGAAATGGTCCTCTTTCCTTATAGGACCAAACTGGTCGACTTCAATCGATGGATCAAGGAATATATAAATGATAGTCCTCTTTTAACTTCACGTGAATCCGCAGGAGAAGAATACATTTGGCTATTCCACGAAGTTGCACATTCTACTTTTTCTTGGAGCCAGCAGAACAGAATATGACAACCGCAGCAAGTCACCAATAAGGCTAAAAATCCTCCAGGGCCACAGACCAGCAAGAAGCCGCGTACACCATCTGTGTCAGCTCGTGTATTTGATGAAAAGGCTTGGAAAGTATGAAAGCTGTAAATTCCATACAGCTTCAGCAAAGAAATGTTCCTTTTGCAAGTGATGCAAATAACAACTGGCACGGACCGGAGCGCCTCTTCCCCCTCTCTCAGCACTGCCAGTGCTTTAAATTGTCAGGTGCAGCTGTGGGTGGCATCTCTTTAATATAGCACCCGTGTCAGCAGCCTGTAAAAGGAGGCCAGCCTGTGAAGGTTACACCAGCGATTGGCTGAGGCAGCACATCTCCCCGCCCCTCTCTTCCACTGCCCTCCCTTTTCCCGCAGAGTAAATTCAGCACAGGCACATCTGTCTCACTCCGTCTTCACGCAATTTCCTGTGATAAAAGCCTGCTCTATTTTAAATTCTTCTACATTTGCAGTTGAGCCATTACAGGGACTACAAATAAAGACATACAGGTTGTGGCTTTCAGCTGGGTGTCCAAAAGCTCTGCCATTTGTACATTCAGTTGTCTGTAAATTTTGGGGGCCTGACCTTTAAGATTGCACAGGCCAGCCCCCATCAGATGACAGCCGGGGGACATCCCATGTTCTGTCAGCTGATCAGAAAGCTTCCATTCAATACCACTAGCCTCTCCTACCCTTAACAGATGGCCCACCCAGTATTTGCTGCTCACATTAGCTACAGCATGCCCAGTACAGATCTCAATTAACATGTTATGCAAGTGTTCCACTCTGCTCAGTGGGTCAATGACCAACATGAGTTAGGGGTTGCCATATCAATGATGAAATCACTCACCTCAAACATCTTGTGATATTCACTGTAATATTTTTTTCATACCCTAGTAAAATTAATTCACTTCCGTTTGTTTTGAAGGTTGCTAAGTTTCATATCCAGGAGGATTTTAAATACTATCTAGGTTCCAAAAACACATCAATGTCTCCAAGGTGTATTTTGTTAAGCTCTTCCCTAGCTTAGCTTCCCCACTTAAAATAAAATCATCCTGCCCTTGTAAGGCCTGTGTTTTGTGAATTTGGAACGTCAAAACTGCCCAGTTCCTCTATTTACTGACAACATACAGCACACAGTAGCAACAGGGAGAATGAGAGAGAGACAGAAAAAAAAACTTGCATGGTTGTGAGAGGAGCTCCTGAGAGGCTGGTCACTTCCAGATAAGGGTATGAAAGCACTACACTTGCCTTCAGCAGTGAGAGACTGACAATGTCCAGGCAATGGGAAAACACATATTTAGAACAGCTGGAAATAAGAAGACATTCTGCTCTTATTTGTTGGAAATATGGATATAAATGCATCGGAGAAAAATCTGTTTTCCAATGAATAATATGCAAACGATACTAAATCAGATGTTCAGGAATACATACAATTTCCGAAGAAATGCCTCAATGTTTACAAAAAAGTAATACTGGAGATAAAAATATCAACCATAGTCTGAAAGTCAAGTCAAGACAAGACTATGCTTTCAGCACACCCTTGTGGCGAAAGTGGGGTGTCTACAAAAACATCCCACTAATAAAAATAGAAAGGCTGGTGTGCCCACTCAACTGCTGTATGATATTCATTTATAAGCATACTTTGTTGGTATAATCATTGGCTACCATTCACTTAAAGCCACATCATTAGTCAGTGAACCACTGGACAGGATGTAATGTCTCAAACCACAGCAGACACTGGTAATCCTGAGCAGCTGTCATGAAAAGGCCACAGAAGCTGGTGTGCTTTGCTGTGTTTTAGTTTGGTTACCATCAATAACAATCTCCAGAGTAAACGGAGCATGCTGACTCTTGAGGTCTGGCCCTTACAGAGCTATTCCGCCAACTACTGCCAAACTGACTCTGTGAGGAAACAGAGAAGAATGGGTATATGCACGAGCCAAAAACATATGACTCATCTTTGTGCCGTTTGATGCTGCTTCCAGCAGGGCTGTTGCCATGTGAAACAGGCTGGTTTTTGTTTGTCGGCCACCCAAATACATAGAGACACGAGAGCTGAAAATTTGCCTGATAGGTCTGTTCCTCATAATACAAGGCCTTGTTCTGTTTACTTTGTGTCATTTCCACATACCATTAGTACCATTATGTCATTATTGAGTTTTAATGGTGACATTGCTGTATGCCCATTTGAGGAATACCAAGCCTGTAACTTAATCTAATAAAATGACTTTGCAATGCACTCCTAGGATTGCAATGCAAGGAATTAAGAGCTAAAAAAACCCTCTTTGATTCTGATAATAAACAAAACCAACCATTTCCTTTTCCTAGAGAAAGTAGATGATGAAGAAGATGACTGATAATGAAGGAACATCTGTCTGACGAAGCTCGTGACCATGTTGAACAAGGCAAAGTGGGGTGGGTGGTTTCTTTTACCATGAAGAAACTTCTACGTCCTAATTGGCACAATAATGTTCAATGTGCATTCCTGTCAAAATGCTACATGTCACACTTTTATGTCACACGCTGCAAAATATCTGAACTCATGAACTCAATCAGATAGACGCAGGTTCCTGTATGTGGTTTTACCTTATACTTACAACAGGAAAACCAAGTCATCTTTGAAAGAACATAGTTTCATCTATTGTGCTTTACTTCCTCTACAACTGTCTTCCTCCTAGGTCTGCTCTTAGCACAAAATAACATGAGTATTAATCTGCTTTTTCACCACACTTTTAATGATCTTCCTTACTGGAAGTTACAAAACTATTAGAGCACAGTTGTAGTCAATTCACCAGCAGACACCTTTTCAGTTTCCATCAACAAGTGTTGAGTGTTCATCTTGAATGACCAGTCAGTGCAATGTTAGCATTCTGACTCACCTCTCCTGGTTCTGGAGAAGATTTTGATGCTTGCTGGTGTAGAGCTGGATGACGAGCGGAAGATACCACTGAAGCTCAGGCGGCGGGGGGACTTGGGTGGGGAGTTCTGGTGGGAGGGATAGGGGAAGATAGTTTTGGGTGAACCTGAGCTCGTCTTCGATTGCACTGGAGCAGACTGGGGACAGGGGGGAAGCGGGGCACTGGCAGGGCTCCTTGCAGACAGTCCTGTGGTGGGGCTGGCTGAATGGACGAGACGCTCTCCCTGAGAGACAATTAAGAGGCAGTTTTATATTCCTGCACTTGAGTTTATTTACGGTGTGTTCCTACAATATTAAATGAGACAGTGAGAGGTCGCAGAGCTAAACAGTGAAAAACTCAGAACAAGAACAAGAACCACACTGAATGAGGAAATGTAGAGAATAGAGATTTATTGTGAAATGACAGGCAGTGATTGCACTTTTTGTGGGGGCCTGCTATTCTGGTCACTTCTCTTTTTTTTTACACATATGTTTTGCATAGTTAGCCACATTGTAACCCTTAACGGTATCTCATAAAGAGTCGTATGAGCAAAGTGCAATAAGGCACATGCTCTTTCATGATCTATTTGTTAAACAAGGAGAGGAGATAAGAGTTACTGAAAAACCAACAATATTGACTACTAGACTTTCTTAATGCAGCATTTTTCATTTGTTTTCTAGTCAGTTTCTGGAGCTAATTTCACTCAAAACAAACAAACCTTAAGCAGAAACATCTAATTTTGTTGGACAAACAGCTGTATGAGACTTAATTAGAGCAAGAAGGAGAACAATACTGACAAGTTTGCAATTCATGCAACATTCAGCTGCAATGTTTAGCAGCTGAAATGATTTTGTAAAACACTGGACAGATCCAATGTTTCCTTCTAACTAAGATATCAAGTCTTGCTGTGTAGTGCATTCACAGGGCAACATGTTAAACAGCCTCAACCTTGATACAGGTTTTTAACAGCCCCATCAGGTTCATTATCAGACAATCAGGATTTCTCTTTGAGAGCATTTTTCATTATGTCTTTCTGTGTTTGTAAGTTTGTCTTTGCAAGGTCAGTATCGTGTAAACAGGCTGAGAAATCCTTCTTGTCTTCACTATGCAGATACCGAACCAAAACATGAGACGGCAGCCAATCTAGCTGGAGACACTGAGAGCCTCCTCCCACCACTGACTGCTGCCTGGTCTGGATGTGCCAATAACAAATCTTTTAACCATTTGTGGGCTCTGAAAACAGTGAAGCATTATAATATGCAGTGAGCTGTAGCTCAGGGGTTGTATTTACTGAAAACAGTGAAATGTAACAGTAGTGTTTTGGTAACATTGCTAGTAGATAAAAGACTGCATAATCTGGAAAAAACTGATCAGCTGCATGATGATATGAAGTGCAAAAAGAACCACTGCTCGTCTATAGGAAGGAAAATACACAAATAAAGACACTAGCGACTTGCTGAATTTGTAACAAATCAAATCAAAAAGTGGGAGGATTGTTTTGTCTAGTCTCCTTAACAAGGGTTCAGGATGGTATTTGCTAAAGGCTAGCCCTACTCCATATGCACATTTTTGTTTAAACCAATCCTGTGACAAATCTCAGGCAGTAAGAGCACACACCCATGTGTCTGTTTGCCAACAACTCTCCCTCTGTCATTGTGCAAGAGCTTGTTAGGGCAAGTGAACCAGCTATCAGGATTTTGTCTGGATATAGATCAGCTCTTTCAAAACACAAGACATTTCAGATTTTTAATCAGCATTGCACAAATATTACAGAGGTAAAACTGAAATATGTATTCTGGCGGACATAAGCTAACGGTCGAGGATTATTCCTATTCTATACTAATCAATTAGAGCAGACAGTAGGAGGAGGCTGCTTTCTTTTAGAAAAATCAATTTCCTGTATTCCTGTATGTGATCTTGCTACGCCTGGACACAGTGGGCGTAATGTTACTGTAAGCCAGCAAGGGTTGGCAGAATGGGAGAGATGGCCTTGTGTAATATTTTGCTCTCCCAGATCTGCGTCTAAATGTGTTCAAAGCCAAACAAACAGAGCCAAACAGACAAGATAAATCATGTCCAGGGAGAAAGCAAGCTTGAGAAAACAAACAATTGGCAAGTAAATGAAAAATGGTGACACAAATATAATTCAATGAAAATAATTTCTGTACCGTCTGAGCTCCACTTTTGGTTGAGCCACTTGTCTCAACTTGAGGGGAAGCGAATGCACCAAAGTCCTGCAAATAAAAGAAATCTGGGTGTTAAGGTGTTAAGGATAAATATAACTTCAAAGAAATAGAGCAGAAAAACAAAATGGCATGTATAAAAGGTAACATGAATGTCTTGTTAGCCACTACATGCTTCTTTAGCCAGTTTTAAAACAAAAACGAGAATGGTGTTCTTCTTCATCACTTTGAGGGAAAGTGATAATTCTTCATACCACCGCCTTTAGGCTTTTAGCATACTCAAAAAAGAAGACAAACATGTTTTACCACAGCGAAAACCTTTGCAAGACACATAACACACTCCTTCCCCATACCAAGGGCTGGATTTTACATTCCTCTTGAAACCGATGATGCTCCGTATGATGCAGCAGTTTAAGGACACAGATGTAATTAGGTGACAATGCAAACCTGTTTCCAATATCTTTTATGTAACTCTATCAGTGTTTCTACCGGGTTGAGATCTGGGCGTTTCATGTGCTGGTGGAAAACTCCAACACCAAGCACTTGAGAGTTGCCTATAAAGGCAGTGTTTCATTCACCTCTAGCTCACTCCTGATGCAGGAAGTCCTTTCCAAGTAAACATAACTGCAAATGGCACCTGCATATCCGTCAAACAAAAATATGAAAAAAATGTTGATATATGATAATAACTTGAAATCTTATATGAAAGACACAGGTCGTATGCAGTCCATGAATGATTAAATTGGAAAAGCTTGCTATAGATGGATCTGATGGATGCTATCTGAAAAATGTATGCCTGTGAGCTACAGCATCGTGGCTGTTATCAATGGTAGAAGACAAAACAAAACAGCTGTCGCCAAAGTGTGCACACAGTATCCTTATTTTGACACTGAAGAGCAGTTGATTCAAGAAAGCTTTAAAGTGTACAGTAATACCATTCAGTTCACAGCTCTTTGTAGGCTTGAGGAGCAAATTAAACACACAATACCAGAGACAAATTGCTCAGACTGATGAACAGTGGCAATTGTAAATCAGGCCTGACTGCTAAAATTAGGTTAGATAAACAGAGACCCTCAGTACAGGGACAGTAATGAATCATGACACATTGGTTTGGAGTAGGTTGGTTCCTCTGAAATGTTTCCTTTGCTTGGTGTCACATGTTTTTCCTCACAGTATTTAGACATATATATTAGTTTAAAGCTGCAGTGATTTGTCTTTTCATTAATCAGTTGATCTGAAATAATTTGGATCCATTTTGATCTGCAAGTCATTTTTTAAACAAAAATTTATATTATTCCAGCTGCTCAAATTGGATAACATTCTGTTCTTAGCAGTTGTCTACTTCTGTAAGCTGAATATCTTTGAGTTTTTGACTGTTGGCGGGACAAAACAAGACATCTGAAGACATCTGAAGACCTCACCTGGGCATTTGTTTTCACAATTTCCTGACATTTTAATCGAGATTATTCGAGTTGCAGCCGTAGCAGGGGAGTTGGCTACAATGACATCACGTTAAAGGGTTAGTGTAGGACATATTGATAGTGTTTACATAAGAGATATGTCCACAAATACATTTCCATCAATGACGGCGTACTAATAAATGACATATTGGTGGCTGACTGATGAACTGAAAAGTCGTAATGAAGAGACAGCTGTCAATCATGCACGCTCTCATACGTCGCGTGCGAGCACAGTCAACAAAAAACGGCTAATAACGGCTAAAAGTCCTGGTCCTGATTTCACAAAAAGTTCAACAACAACTCGATTTTTTTTCTTTTTTAAACAGTCACAGTAAGAAGCCAAATTAGTTGATACTTCACCGACTCACTGGCATGTTAATCCGCAGACTTCTCCTCTTCTTTGGCATTTTCTTTGAGCTCTGCTTGCTGGACTCCATCACCGTGCTTCCCATTTTTTTCCTTCAGAGGGGCAAAACACACAACAGTGAGCTAACTAACTGCTGCACCGCGGCTTCACACTGTAGACCGCCGCCCCCACCTTGCCTTCAGCTGCCCCCTCTTCTTACTACAACAACACGGAGGCACTGCCTCATCCACCAGGAAGTAGGCTTGGCAGTGGCGAAAAAGAGGCATGGCACTCATCTTCAAATGAGCTTCAACACGGACTGTTTACAGGTGTTGTGTCATAGTCTGCGCCGCCGAGAAATGTGTGTGCCCTAACCTGAAAACGGCATCAGTCTGTCTTTATTTTCTGAGTTCAGGCAAAGACACAATAACATTTTTATACTTTATACGTTTTATACTAACAAGCTATTATAAGGAAGTGAGGCTACAAATATTTAGGCTACTTGTCATTTCTTAAGCGCACTTCCTTTCCCTCCTACCATCATTTCCGTGTACGATGGCAAAACAAGAAATGGCTAAACTGAGGGCACACATCCAGGAAAACAAGTTTTTGGAGGGGAAGCTAATTTTGACACAGCACCAGGTAGGTCTTGTGTACACATGTGCTTAACCAACAGAGGTCAGTGCCACTCAGAATTTAACTGGATTATGTAATGCAATAAATGCAAAATATAGCTACTGTTAATGTCATTATCATTATTATTATTATTATTATTATTATTACAGCTCTTGTCAAAACACAGGTTACAAAGTAAAAGCAATAAGGCAGAAAATATGAAATTAAGAATCACCAAAAGTGCACAATCACCTGTGCTGTCATTTATTCCTAGAATTAACAGTTATGTGTAGGTACAAGAGTTCAATGATAAAGACAGGCTCTATACCTGGCCTATTTAGACCTTTATAAGTAATACCAATATCTTCTAAAATCAATTCTAAAATCCAATGGGAGCCAGTGCAAAGATGCTGGAATGGGAGAAATAAGACCATAAGTAAATTTTCATGTTTTTAGGATGATTAGCTTTTTGCAGTCTAAAGATGATAAGGAAGTAGTAGTATTTGGAAGTAGTCTCAGTTGGTGTAGACAGGATTGTTATACCTGACTTTTAAAATTAAAGTTACAATCAAAAACTATATTCATACTGAAGAAGCTTTTGGACAACCGTTTTTATATCAGCTGGACAATTCTGAAGGAAGGCATGCTTAGGTAAATTACAGGGGTAATAGTGTGTATGACAAAGAAGCAAAGAACAAAAATAAAGGAACAAAGAAAATACAGTGTGGTTAGGAATATGGTAACAAAGGGCAGCAATGCAAAATGATCCTAAACTGAACCTTGAGGAACTCCAGTTTGCTGATTCGAGGAGCTGCTAAATAAGCTGAAATAAGAAATAGAACAGCCACTTCTACTCAACTCTCTACTTTGGCACGAATGAACTGTAGGCCACCACCAACTCACTTTCTCTGCATGAATGACCAGTCACCTTCAAGGACCCATCAAATACAGCATAGACTGCTCAGGGCTTAACTCAATTAAATAGAGTAGTTTATCTAGAGCCTCAGAAACTTACCTGTACTCTTACGCTAAGACCAGCCCCCGACTTACTGTGTCAAGTTAGTGGTACATTAATTAAACACAATACTCAACATGTAAGCATAGCCTTAAGTAGATTAATGAAAGTCAGCTAATTTTTACTCCTTGTTAAAAGTGCATATAAGATATTTTATAAATGTTAAGTGTTACTCTGACATTATCAGAGGTATCTAGAGGCAGTATTTTAGTCACAGTCAAACCTGCAGTGAGACTCCCTGGACTGATTTTGGGATGTTTGTTGAAGACCCAGGCCCAGCACACAGAACAGGCAGATTAAAATCAGTTAAATTGCACCCATCAATGAAAATAATAGGGTCAGTCCTACAGAAGACAAGCTTGCACTCCTAGGCAATACAACTGGCACTAAAGGACGCTGTTATATATACCTTCATTTGTCCTGTAATTAAATTGCTTGGCTGTTTCTATAAAGTCAGAAATGGCTATAATATACGCAAACACTCAATATTTGAAAAAAAACTTTATACACAACATGCTAACATGTAAAATAGTTTATTTTTGTAAATGTTTCTAAATTCAATTCCACAAACTCCATACTCTGTACACTTCAAAAGGCATTTTCAAAAAAAAAAAAAAAAAAGAAAGAAAGAAAAAAATCTGACTACTTTACACGACCAAGAAAATGTAGCACAAACACACTGGCAGGATGATGTAATATCATACAAGAGAAGAAAAATATCAAGAAACAATTTTGTTACAACCATTCATTGAGAAAATATATACAATTGAGTCTTCGGAAAGTTAAAAAAATACATGCCATATACATTACAAGTTCTAAGACTGTCTCCAAAATTTTACAGTCAACTTGAAATTGTGCACGCAAAAACTCTTCCGTTTCTAAGCATGTGACTTGTGAAGTGTCAGTATAAGAAACATTTCTGATTAAGGAGAATGCCATTTCTGTCCAAAAAGGTACAACACCCTATGGTTCCAAATAAGAGTCCCCCATTCTTTCTGTCACATACTGGTTCGTCTAATTCACATCATCATTAGACGTTTGCACCTTGTTTTAAAAGTAAAGTAAAAACAGAAACAGATAAATACATGTTGGTGTTCCTATTTGTGTTAAAAAGTTAAAAAGTTGTTTTTTGGGTTTCAAAACCTAATTCACAGTTCTTTAAAATGAAACCTGATTAACAGCAAACAGATCACAACGATCTCTTACTATTTGAAGAGTCTTTTTTTTTTTTCTTTGTTTCTGTAACTGATAACTCGTTACGTTAGTCAACAAAAATATTTCTTTTTTGAGTGGTCAAAGTATGTGTAAGTCACAAAACAATACGCTACAATACCTTACTTTTAATACAACAAAAATACTTTGTGAATTATTGTGGTTATATTACAAATTCTGTACAGAATAATCATAATATATACTCTCAAACTGAAATAACGTCCATCTTAAATAAATTTCAATGACAAACAGAACAGAAACAATTCAAAAACACCCAAACATCAAGAAGGTTAAGGTAGTATTTGGTCGGTTATTCCTATAGTTTTCTTTATGTACATTTATACAAAAGTAACAGCATGTCTTCTTCAATCTTCAAAAACAATAGCAATCTAGCCTTCTTCAACTCAGTCTCATCATTTTGAGAATAAAATTCATTCACTCTAATAAATACAAAACCTCTCGAATTCCACACAAATCACATGACAGAGACCTATGATAAAACTGACTCATGGAATCAAGTATTTTAAAAGTTTGTGTGTGTGTGTGTGTATGTGTGTGTGTATGTGTGTGTGTGTGTGTATTTTCTTTTTTTTGTTTATTTTCTTTTTTTTTAGTGCAAGTTAATATTCCCTTCGCAGTATTCATTGCTGTACATTCCTCATTCAGTGATGTCTACATTTAGTCATACGGTATACATTAACAGTATGAAACAAAAGGGCCTGCCCTTAGTAAGCAATAAGGCCGCACCCTGCACAGTGCTTTCTCATTCGCTGGTGGATTCCTCACCCCATGTACACCAAACAAACACACAGATACATACAGACAGACAGAGGCATCTCATACAACAGAGCCCCTCACATATGGCACAAGTCACATCCTGCTACTGTGTTACATTTTCCCTTCCTCCACCCATGATTTTCCCAAGATCTTAATGAACCAATGCGTAAATTCATTCATCTCCTCCAAGGGTTCAGGCCTTCTGCTCATTCATGAAATCACTTTAGTGTGAAGCCTGCAGAGATCACAGTATCCACACACTATAGCAAGGAATGCATTTAGGTTTGTTGTTTTTCCTTAGTTAATCCACTTCCTGCATTCAGGAGCTCCGCAGTGGCAGGCGATCTTGTGCTGGCCCTCCACGGTGTCGAACTGGTAGTCGAAACACAGCTGGAGAACACAGACAGAAACGTCAGTTCTCGGCATCACATTTGCACATTTCAAACCAACACTCAGTCAAATTAAAGAAAAGGACACTCACCTCCTCTCCTTTTTCAATTCTGCGAATGCAGCTGATGATGATTTTGTAACCCCTTTCAAATGTCACCACCTCAGCAACACAGTTCGGGGCACAAGAGTGGTTGATATATCTGTATATGAAAAATGAAAAGAGATTTCTTTTTTACAATTAAAATTATTGCAAATAGTGAAAAAGTTATATTCTGAACTTACAAAAGTGTTTTAATAGATCTCAATTCCGAAAAATGTATATCATTATATTTTTTCTACTTCCAGTAGTCTTTCTATACTGCATCTTTAAATTCCAATAAAAACAGCTTCAAATTCACTGTCGCCTTTATAGAAATTCAAGTATGGCATAGGCCAAGGTTTTAAAGTGACTTGCAAAACACTTTCAATTTGAGCCTCCAGGGACAGCACTGGACTGTGAGGCAATACTGGCATAATAGAATGAATGGGGTGCCATCTTTGAACATGCGATCCATTTCTTTTACTGTGTAAGCACACCATTGTGCCACAGCCACAGTTGGAGCTGCAGGACCATGCAAGACTTAATCCTGCACACATCCATTATAAAAGTAGTATCACAATTTGAACTATTAGGTCCAGTATACATTATTTCTAAAATCCACCAAGATTAATGAATTAGTTTATTAGTTAATTAGTTTAATGGTAGATTTATTTAAGACACTAATCGAGGAGGTCCACAGTGGCAAACAATGTGCGCTTCACACCCAGGGAAAAAGTGAGGTAACAGAAACTGAGTGAACATACAAACCACAATACAAAAAAACAAAAACAACAAAAAAATGCACATGGAATCTTACTGTACCTTGCGAGCCCTCCAGTTCGAGTGGCATCAACAACATGTTCGCTGTCGATGCGGAACATGAACACTGCTCGGTTCTGTAAGGAAGAGAGAATTTATTTGCTGGTAAAAGTAACTTTAGACTAAAGGAATTTCAGCTCAGAAAGTATTTAACACAAATGTATACCTGAGATCTATAGATCTTCTCCTTGCTGTTGGCAACCTCATTTCGTAGGATGGTTCCATTGTACTCGATCACCATAGTTTGTTTTTCAATGTCTCTAGCAGCAAACAGCCCCAAGCCCTGTGAATACGTTATATATGAAGCTATCCATTTTGTCCACGGGAATCCAGGAGTATTAGTCTCATTCCATCAGAAAAAAAAATTAAACTGAATATTTATTTTTAGACTCACCTGGATGCGGGAGCGGGCAAGATAGACATTGGCTCTCCACTCACTCTTCATCCAGCGGTACTGAGAGGACCTGGGGTGCACTACCGGAGGCTTGCTATGGGGAGCGCCACCTTCTCCTTGGGCCACATTCTGGTTCGACCTGGCATTGCTGCTGGATACAGCCTGTGGTTGTGGCCTTTATTTTGAAAGGGGGAAAGTCATGAAAACAATGTAGAAAAACAATAATTCAATAATATTTTTGGAAAATTGTGAATTAGACAAATGATGTGAGACAGCCTACAACAACAAACTAATGTCAACTTCCCCCAAAGGTAGGTACCTTATCACCAGTGAAGTATAGGGGGAGTTTGTCCTTGGTTGGGAGCGGGCACTGCCAGCTGGATTGAACATGAGAGGCAACTCCACAAGAGGATTGCGTCCATAACGGAACGAGTACCTGTCACAAGCCTCCACTCCAGGGAGCTGAAATAAATGAGTAAAATGAGTAAAGATGAGTTACATGCTTCAGTGTCTACAGAATATGATCTGTTTGTGTTTAAATGTCATATTCTTTACTGTGATTAAAAAATTAAATAAAATCTCATAAATTAGTTACAAACCGATTCAGTGATTTTGGTGACTGCAGGGACTGTGAGCCCAAACAGGTCCTCTCCTTTCAGGTAAACAGGGAACAGCTTTAGAGTGCCTGAGTCAGTTCTTTTCTCAGCAACAGGACCCAGAACCTTATCCCACACTCCTGTTTACAGTGAGACAAGCACACGTGATGGTTAAAAACTATACTCTGTAAAAGGCTGGAACACAAAACAAGCATATTTCTGTAAGGAATAAGTTGTTACAAACCTTTAGCTGAGTTGTCAGTCAGGAGCAGGTCTTGGTAGCCCTGTTCGATGACTCTGATGGTAAACTCTGGCTGTCCCTCTTTGTCTTCAACAGAACAAACGTAGCGGCAACGGCGGTTGCCATGGCGCATGCTCCAGTAAATCCGGCAAGCCTCATAGCCAACTGGAAAGATGGCTGTTGGGGAATGGAAAGCTGTCATTTGAAGAGGGGTTAGTTGGCCCATCGCATGCAACACCAGGCTGCCGACTCGAAAGGTGTAGCCTAACTCAGGCTGCTGTACTGCAGTTGCAATCTGACGCATTTCATCTCTTTGGACGTAGACACGTCGGAAGACAGCGAAGCAACGCAGCTCATGCTCCAGTGCTTGTCCTGCTGTACCCCGGGGCCTGTGGGCATGACATAGCATGGTCTTGTCCTTGAAGAAGGTGCACTGAGCTTGCAGAGCACAGGTGAAGTGGTAGACATTGGTGCAGCGTAGGCGGTGGCAGCCACTAGTGGCTCCAGTCTGCTGGCAGTAGGCACAACGTACAGTCTGACCGCGACGCAGTGCAAGCTCCACGTTGATGAGGGCGCCAGCCTGGGTCTCATACACCTCAGTCGACCACAGAGCGCAGTTTAGATGAACCCATACATCAAGATCGAGATTAAGCAACCTAGCAGGGCCATCAGTGATCCCATCTCCGAACTGATGGCAGAAACAGCAACGCCTCTGGTCCCGGAGTGAGGGAGGAGGGCGCAGGGAAGCCCCTAGTTTCTTGAGGAGCTCGTCAATCTTATCCTCATCTGGGAGTTGGGAGTTCCCTCTTGGCACCACTACCTGGACAGTCCACTTCCTCCAGCGGAGTCCTTTCTGTCTTTTTCCCTGATGCCACCCGTCATGGGACCTTGGCCGGGCCTTCAGCTTCACTGTCACTTTGATGGCATCAGATTTTGTTTCCATCTTTGGTGTCTCTCCTGCCGTGGGGAAGGGGATAGGTGGGGTAGAGGGTGGAGACTGCTTGGGCTGAAGCTGGGCCAGGCAATGAACATCCAGCGATGACATGTTGTTACTGTACTGGTGCTGAGCTTTAGAAAGGCTCTCAGTTTGCTCTGAGGCAGGGAGGAGGGACACTGATTCCTGAAAATACGGGAAAAGAACAATGACAACCAGCAAAACACAAAAGAGACATAATAATTGCAAGTTATTCACATTCACTATGGTGTTTGTGCATGTGTTACACTGGTACAAACCTTAGTTTCAGTGGTTGATCTAGACTGCAGTGGTGATGAGGAACAGTAGAGAAGAAAGCAGCTGTGACTGCAGAAGACCAGGTCGTCTTCAGATTTCAAACGGCCTTCGGATTCCTGGTGAGAGAAATTAGTCCAAGTTTTAACAGGATGAATAAGGAATGAGATGTTAAATCAAAGCCTGACCAATGTGAACTGCATAAGCTCCACTGACGTTGAAAGAAGTTATGAAATAAACATCAAAAACATACAATATTTAAATAACCAAAATACTCTCAAGACTGACGTCATGGGGTATGCTATTTAACCCACTAATTGATCCGAAATGGATTTAACTCCAGCAGGCTGGATTTACATAATCAAGGATAATCAGAGCATTACTGTGGTACTGTGTGTATGAATATATATGGATGTGTGCAGCCCTTCGGGCTGAATGTGGGCACATCTAGTCCCATATATATTTAAAGCATCCTGTACTTTATTAGACCCTTTGGTTGTAGCGCTTTTAAGTCATGGTATAATGATAATGTCGATTCTCTATTAACTACTATGGTCTCAAAAATCACACTTTTAGCATCCAAAGTGCTCCAGTTAAAGGGTGGTCTGCCTACTTAATATACCTCGCTGCTGTGCTGAACAGTCCTTATCATTTGATTCATTGCCTTCATGTGGGCAGGGAGATCTTTAAAGGATTTCTGTACTCCATTTCCCAGAACCACCACCTTACAGTGGCAGCACCACTGTGGTTTACATCCAGGGCTGGCAGGGGTCTTGTGGTCAGGTCCTCGAGCTACAGCTGCACCTGATGCAAAAGAGAACATGATTTTAAAATTGATATCCATTTCAAAATACATAATACATTCTGTGATTATAACCCTGCAGATGTATGATACTCGACTTTAAGTAAACAAATAAATATAAGCTTGGTAAGTAAAACACCCTATTTCAGCAGTAAAGGAAATTAAACTACACAATTGAGGCACCTGCCCCTGTCTCTTGGTGAGCTGTCAATTTCTTATTTACATGGTTCTGTGCTGACAGCACTCATTAGGTCTGTTACTACAGTTCTGACAGCAATAAGCAGGAGTGTGTATGCTACAGTCTTCTGAATGACAATTGTTTACTCTATTTCATTAGCTGAGAGAATCACTTAAATTAATGCGCTGCCCTCAGCCCCATAATGATATGCAAAACAAAACAGGCGTCTGTAAATACTGTTAAGAAAGATAATCACTCATGTAGATGTTTAAGGGGAAACAATTACATATCAAGATTGTGTTGCTGCTTTGTGCTTTTTCACAGGAAGTCATTATGTCAGGCTTAAATCAGACATGACATTTCAATTAAAGGCTGTGTTGCAGTGTTTGGGGGAATCAGAGATGCTCTTGTTTAATTTAGGTTTATTCCCTCACCTGGGCTGTTGGGATGGAAGCGGAAATGATGTGCCTGCTGCTGTTGCATCATCCCATGTGCTCCAATGGGTCTTATCATCTGTCCAGGCCGCCCGTGAAGCCCCCCATTGTCTCCTTGTCCATGGAAGAGCATGGGAGGCCGAGGCTCCATGCCATGGGGGCCCACCCTTGGACCACTGAGCATAGATAGGGGCCCCCTGTCTGGGGTGCTGCTGACCTCATAGCTACTGGGGATCTTCACACATAGTAGGTCTGAAATGGCTGCCACTACACCTGTGATGTTCTGAGGAAAAAACAAAAAGCGAACAAACCTTTATATCCTTGGCAATTTCTGTGGTACTCCTACAAAAGTAGGACTAAGTCTATGCTGAATTCCTGTGAAAGTAAATATAAGTATTTTTACCTCAGCTGCAGCTGGTCTCAGTGTGATAGCTACAGACACCAGCCTTTGCTTGGAATCATTAGACACATGATGTCCAAAGGGGGGGCCAAAGAACATTGCAGATGGCTCAGTCTTGATATCTTGCAGTTTGATCTCTGACCCTAGAGGATAAAAAAAAGGAGGAAATTCATAAAATTTGCCACACTGTTAAGGTATTCTAGAGTTGTGTTTCAACTGCATACACAAACGCATCCAATTAACTATGATTAGTTTTTAATTATTGTGTAGTTGTGTATCTTTACCTTTCCCATCAGGTGCAGGAAGCATGGGGAGGACAGGAGACAGGCAGGGGGATGGTGGCTCTTCCTTCACCAGAGAAAGGTCTGGATAGCGACTGATCTCCATGCCAACCACACTCTCAGGAGATGAGGATGGAACAAAACTGTCAGGTGTGTCCCTGTCTTTGCACGGCTCCTGTCCTCTGTTACTGTTAACATTTGGTGAGGAGAAACAAAAAAACATTAACCACCTCTGTCAAACACAATCTGCAGCCAAAATTGATCATCATAACATGATCATAAAGGATTACTCAAAACGGTTATATGAGATGATACTGGTGCTGCAATTCATTGAAAGAATTACAGTTACTCATCTGTTACCTGAGCTCCTCCTGGTTGTTGTGTGGAGGGGTTGGGAGGGAGGCTGGAACGTCCACAGTTTTGGGTCCCTGTGCAATGGCCCTGGCAAGCAGATCTTCCTCAGTCCTAAATGGGACATGTAGCGGCTTCGGGACCAGGCCTTTGGACACTATATGAAACAGGAGCACAATGTCATTATGAAATGTACAATCACACAATGCTTGTCTGTAATGATGGGAATTCATCATATCTGCTTTCTGTTTACCTGAACCTGTTGTGTAATGTGAGATGGTGGGAAAAATGTCACAGTCACTGAAGTTTTTGTTGGAATTTGTTCTTTATGATTCTTCAGAAATGTGACATTAAGGTACACCATCATGTATTCTTACCCATGGCAGCAGCTTTGCTGGCCAGCTCTTCTGTTGTGGCAAATCCATTGATCATTTTCTGTCGGTTCACAGGTGGTGGGGTGGGAGGGAGAGATGCCGGCGGTGTTGGTGGATTACTCAGGTTACTCTGCTGTGGGAATCAAGATCAATGCAATGTCAGCACACCATGCTGCACACACATCACTCTGTTTACCCAGTTTAAACATAGTAAGGTAAGCGGGTAGGCACCTTGTAGGCCAGCTGGGAGTAATAGTCAGACACTCCATCTAGTGAGGCGCTGCCAAAAGTACCAGATAAGAGGTTCTCTCCATTGAGCGGGCCGCTGCCATAGGGAGCGAAATGGGCAAAGTTGACCCCAATCAGGGGCTCCATGAGGGGCAGCAGGGAGAGCTGCTGTGTCGAGAGAGAAAAACAACAAGGGGGAAGGGATAGGAATAATATCAGAACATGTCTGTAAGGGCAATGGATGTTCTAGCACAGACCACCGCAGGGAAACACTAAGCAAGATGACACCACAGAGAATGTATATATAGAAAATAAAAAAAACAAAAGACATAACATGGCTGGACAATCTTGGATAGAATAGAACTCTGTATCTTCTTTTAAATCTCTTCTTAAGACTAACTTTTATTGCATGGCCTTTTATTGACTGTTGTTTTTATTGTATATTTTAGTTTGGATTTTATTATTTGCATTTCTCTTTTTATTGTAAAGCACGTTGTAACTTTGTTTTGAATGGTGCTATACAAATAAAGTTATTATCATTATTACTTGTTTATTATTTAATAAAATAAGCATTTTCTTAATCATTTTACAGTATTGTAAATGGCCTCAGTTTGTTCTTTTAAGATCAAATAAAACTTTTATCATTTCAAAAAGATAATTCTTTAATCAATATAAACAGTGGTTGTGGATTTTGTATGAACGTTATTTCATCATTACTTAGTTATTTTAGATCCTGTAAAATGTACAGAAAAGGAAACTAAATAAGCTAATGCTTAAGCCAGTTATCTACTTCTCTGCAGACTTCAGAACCAGTGAGGTGAATGTTTGCAGCATCAAACAGTTAACTTTTCAGTAGTTAAAGAAGAGTTAACAGTCTTAGTTGTAGTTTCCCCTTGAGCAGAATCCATCTTATACTTCTGAGAAACTAACAATACATTCTCATTTAGTGTTTGCTAAACTGTATTAAATGTGATGATGATGAGATGATATCATACTGCACATTTGATAAAGTTTAAGTCAATAAACCTCAATCAATGAGGGACTTGCAATATAACCATGAATCCCCTTCCACTCTCCTGAATAATAACAGTTCCTAATACCTTGGTGTGCAAGTGTCATCCAAACTAATTACAGTAATGTGCTTGTGATATGTGAAATTACTGCCTGTGTGCTTGTTAGAAACAATTCTCTATTCGGGCTGTAATTAACACTGTCAAATTTGAAATAAAGCATTGTGTGAGGAGCAGGTGATAAGGTGGTAAAATCAATCTTACCTGTTTGATTTGGGCCATTACAGTGTCAGGGCCAGAGTGCATCAGTTGCCTCTCATCTCCTTCCTTCTTCCTTTTCTTGTAGCGAGAAGCAGGTTTCTCTCCTCCTTTTGGTGCTCTCTTGTTCCTCCCTTTCTTCTTCTCCTGTTCAGGCAGCAGAGGTCCAGGGAAGTCAGGGGTGCCATCCGAGTATGCCTGGAGACGAGAAAATTTGCTATGCATTAAAAGGCATGAACAAACTTCAAATTACTTGAGAAGCATCGTGGCTTCAAGTTAGCTGTTTTCAAACACGGAGCTATGACTCATTCATAAACTGACAGCTATGACTCATACCAATTTAACTATAATGTGCCTCCCATCTGAATCACTTAGCTAGTCTATGACTCACTATGTTGATCATCTCTTCAGCGCTCTATAACTGTATGACTAACACAAAGACTGACCCCATTGCTGTCCATGGAGCTTTGCCTTAGCAGGGTTTTGCAATCTGCAGGTTCCTCCTCCTCTGAGCGCAGGCTCTCCTCTGACCTCTGCTGGGGCAATCCAGGTGGAGGTGTACTCTTGTTCTTCAGAAGGTGCTTCAGTAGTTCATTGCCAGCCTCACCCTTGTTTGGACTTTGCCCTGCAGGGAAGGGAGACGTGCCCCCTTTACTGCCCTCCTCCTTCACAGAGCTCATTTCTGAGCCGATGGGGCCTTCTCTTGGCCCATGACACTCACTGGCATCAGTCTGCTCCAGCTTTATGTTGTTGAGGATCCTGTCATGCTCCTGAGCCTGTGTCCTTGCTGTGTCTGATGACATACCAGGTTGTCCAGACTGTCCTCCAGAAAGCTGCCTTTCCAGCTCTGAATGACTGGGGGTGGAAGATCCCAGTAACGGGGACCTTGACAAATCCTGGTCTCCGAAGAGATGGGTGTTTCTGGTTGGAGTTGAGGATGTGTCTGAGACGCATGGTGTGAGAGGGGCTGTTAGGTCAGAGTGTGGAGTTGAAGGTGTCTTGACTGAATCTGCGTCATCATCTTTCTTCTTTTTGCGGCTCCTCTTCTTTTTCCCTTTCTCATCTGGGATGATGTTGGAGTAAAGTTGGATAAGAGACTGACCAGAGCCTGGAAAGTTAGATGGCAGAGGTGTAGCTGAGTCAAATGGTGGACCCTCACCCGGCATCTGAAGCATCATTCCTGGGCCACTGAACTGACGAGGCCTTGGCTGACCCTGGGGGAAGTTAGGTGCTTGTAGGGCAAGATTATCAGGCCCTAAACCAGGCCCCATATCTGGGGGCATCATCCCATTACCCATCAAAGATCTCCTTTCACCTTGCATAAATGTTCCAGGTGGTGAACCCATTCCAGGCGGCATGCCCTGTTGCTGGGGAAACACTGGACCAAGAGGCTGTTGCTGTAGAGGGGGCCTCTGAGGCTGCATGAAGTCTTGTGGCAGCTCTGCATTAAAAAATGGCATCTGAGCGAGTGGCGCCATGTTCCCTTCTGGCCCCATCATCCCTTGCTGCTCCATTTCCATACGGTGTTTCAGGGCTCTCTGTCGTTCGACCTCCTGCATGAGCTGTACCCGCTGCCTCTCCTGCTGCTCCCTAAGCCTCTCTCTCCTCTCCCTCTCCTGGAATCCTTCACTGAATGGATTGTTGTCATCAAACTTCACACCACCTGCCTGCATGGGTTTTACACCACCTGGTGGAGCTGGTGGTGCTTGGGGCTCCACAGGCATTTGTGAGTGCTGAGGTATATTACCCATTGGCATTTGATGGGGCTGGCCTGGATTTCCCACAGGTACCTGGGGGGGCATTATTGGTGGCATTCCTGGTCCACCCATGGGCATGGGAGCACCCGGATGCCAGCCAGGTGGTGGGTTGGGCATACGTGGCGGTGCATTTGTCTGGCCAGGATGAAGTGGCATCTGCATCATCGGGTTCATAGGAGGCTGAACCATTGGTGGTCCACTGGGGACCATGCCAGCAGGGCCTGGCATAGGGTGTATCCCGGGCATTATGGGTGTCATATTGTTTTGCTGGTGTTTCACTCTGTACTCCTCTATCAGTTCAGCATGCTCCTTCTGCTGCTTGCGGATCTATAACAACAAAATTCACACGAAAAATGTGATTGAGGATCTCTATGAAAATTACAATGAAATTATGTATTGCTTGCAAGCTATTTTATCACATTTACAAGACAAACTTATGAGGACAGGTTTACCCATGGGAGGAAGTGAATGATTTTGCTTTCAAACAGCAGCTTGGAAAAAATAACTTTAGAGCCAGAGTTGGGAAGAACAATCAGCCAAAATTCTTTTTGTTTTTTTTTTCAGCACTACTCTTTTAGGGAGTCAAAGCAGGTTGAGAGGCGCAATGCAGATTGTGTACTTGGAATTCTTCTATTTGTTTATATGTATTATTATATAACTTTTCAAGTCTGCCTGGGTAGAAAACAACTGGATATATAACTTCCTATGCATACCCTATAGGTACATTATATATTTTACCAATCAGACTAATTAATTACTTTTTTCGGTTTGCCATAAAGGTAAGATACAGTCAAAGACAACACCTCTTCTCCCGGTAAAAATTAATTAAATGTGTACCAAAGAACTGAAGGTAATAAAAATAAAGAATTGGATGTATGTATTTTTCTCATAAATTTTATGTGTTAATCCTATTTTCAATTAACCTTGCACTAATGTGAGTATTGTTGCTATGCAACTTGCTGTGAGAAAATCATATTATCTCATGTGACTGAGATGAAAAACTTTTAATAATACCGATTAAATTGTTTAATAACAGAAAACAATTAGTTTAATTAAAAATAAGGTTTTTTTTCATGTTTTTCCTGATACACCTTATTTTAGCATCACACACTGCCCATAACCATAGGTTCCATTTTGCCTGCTTTTTGCTCCCATATAAGGGAAAATAATTCTGGAGGAGGGCTGTATTTGACCCACAGTTTGTTATTTATGTCTACTTTAAACTTTAAACTCTGCTCATAGAAACAGTTAAAAAAGGACAATGCTTAGGACGGTCATTGTGTGGAGTAGGGCTGAGACAGAATTCAGCAGTGAAGCTTGACAGGCCCAGCATTTACCTGCTCCAGTTGTTTCTGCACCACTCCCTGCTGCTCTGTGACATGTTTGAGCTGCTCAGCGTCCTCCTCAGGGAACTCTCTCCCTGCCTTCTTAGCTGTTCTCTGCTTGGCAGACAGGGCTTTCTTAGACTTCCTGTGAGCTCCGATCTTCTCTTCCAGAAACTTCTGCTGCATTTGAAGTAGTTGCTGAGTCTCCTGGAGCCATTCCTCGTACTGAGCCCTCTGAGCATTGTCTGAAAGAAGAAAAAGGCTCTTTTGTTAATCTTGAGAGCATAAAAAACAAACATCTTAACTTTTCTACTCCTGACAAACCTTCAAACCAAAAAGTTGAAAATGCATATAAATTTTTCCAGAACTTACTGACAAATCCTGGTCCAAAGTTTGGGGGATTCAGTCTTGTTACTTGTGTCAATTTACCATCCTGAAAGCAAGGTTGACAAGTATGTTGTTATATATTTGATATTTTACGTTATATAGCATTATAACCCTATCTAAAAAAAATAATAGTTTCATTACCTGTCCAAGAACTTGTGGAGGAAGCGGTGTACTTTCAGGACAAGGTGGTACAGGACCAGGAGGAAATCTGTAATACAGCAAAACCACAGCCATGCATCATTTCATAATTCAAACAATTACAGTAGACACTCAATACAATTCTTCAAATAGTTGCACAATATCCATGTGGTTATTATGCTGGTGTTGTCATTAAAGCCCTTTACTCCCACTAAGAGTAATGCATTTTCTTTTCATCAAATTCATATGGAACCAAAGTGAACTTTTTACCTGTTCATGACCATTGGGGCCATTCCCATGTTGTTCTGAACCATAACTTTGTTGATGCCTTTCAGGGCAACCATTTTGGCTTTCATGATGGGGTCAGTGATGGCATCAAAATCTGTAAATAACAAACAACGCACCGTCAGAAATAATCACTTTGCAAAAAAGAGCGATAATCCCAAACATTAACTTATACTGACATCTAGAAGTTCTGGTTTAAATAATTTACCAATGTTGGGGAAAAAGGAGTCGCTGGAACGTTGTCGTATCATGGCTTGCATTTGCCTCTGCTGCTGTTGCTCCTGCCTCTCCTGGTCTAGGAGGTCCTGCAATAGGAGTGGCTGCTCCTCAAGCAGAAGAGGACGATGTTGGTTGTGCTGACCCATCGCCTGGTTCAACGCTGTCTGCTGGGCCTGACTCAGACCGCTCTGGTCCACTCCAGGGGTTAGCCCCACCTGGTGGTCGGCTCCAAAGCTGGTCAGAGAGGCTTCTCCGGCAGTGGTGGCGTCAGATATTGTTTGACTCATTGTAAGTCCGGAGGTATGCTGAGTGTCAGTGACTTGGTTCTGCTGGGGCATGAGGTTACCTCCTTGAGTGACAGATTCAACGATTGGATTTAATGACTGCTCCTCAGGCTGCTGCTTAATGAGTAAACTAGAAAGGACTGGGGTGGAGTCAGAGAGAACTCCCTGCTGGTTTGAGGTTAAGGTGTTTCCAGCAGCTTGCTGGTCTATCACCTCAGGAGGTTTCTGACAGTCTTTGACCTCTGTTTTAATTTCTTTCCCAGGTGCTAAAGAAGCAGAGTCCTGATTCCCAGGGGCTTCCATCTTGACCTCAGCTGAAGACTGCTCACCTGAGGCCTCCGACTTTGCCAGTGCAGATGCTGAACTGGACGAAGCCTCACTTTCAGTACTTGAGTTTTTGTTGATGTCTGTGGTGTCAGTGTTATCATCCATGGGATCACTGAGATCCAATTCCTCATTAAACATGTCTTTCTTGATGTCATCTAGGTCAGGGTCGGTATAAGCAATGATATCAAATTTCCCAGATGTTAGGAAGTCATCAAGGTGTAGGTCATTTGTCTCCAGGTCTAGGTCTTTACCATCTTCAGGATCCAAATTTAGGTTTTCCAGGTCAGCATCCACCAGGTCTTTCACCTCCACATCCTCCAGATCTTTGACTGCGGATTCTTCTGCATCTAGTTTCTCCTCCACAGCTTCAGTGCTGGCCACTGAGACAGTTTCGGTCTGCCCAGCAGGGGGTGCAGTCAGGATCATTGATGCTGCCATGTTCTGGCTCTCATTTGAAGCAGGCTGGCTCATGGATCTCATCAAAGGAGACTGTTTGAGTGTATTGTTTCCTGACATTTGGGCTTGCTGATGAAGATTGTCCATGCTGGCAGATAGCTGTACATGACCAGTCTGGCTTGCCATAGGGTCTATCATCCTAGGCCCCTGATTTAAGGGGAACCTGGAATCGGGTGCTCCTGGAAAGCCTGCTGGTCTTTGAACCTGCAAGTTGGGATCAATGTTGCTTCCTTGCATGGCACCTGGTGGAAATGGCATACGTGGCCTGTTTTCTGCTGCTCTGTGCCGCAGCTCAATGAAAGGCTGGCCCATTATGTTGTGCTGTTGCACTGGCATTCCACGTGGTGGGAAGTGTTGGGGCAGCCCCATAGGGTTGCCTCCCATATTCTTTGCCATTTCTGCAGACATGGAGCGCCTCATTTGAGGAGGTATATCCTGCATTGGGTGTTGCCCCCGGGGAAAGAACTCTTGGGGCCCATGTGGGCCTAGAACGCCAGGTGGAAATGCAAACCTAAAATAGGATAAAAACAAATATAAAAAAAGAGGAAGGGCATTGCTAGATTTGTGCAGCGATGAGCTATCAATTACAACATATTTAAAACTCGAAGTGAAATAAAAACAATAACACTGTATCACCAACCTTGGTCCCTGATGTCTCAAATTAGGATCTCCAGGATGTGGGCCCCGGTGGATTTGTCCCTCATTAGGAAAAGAGACACGCTGATCCCCTGGAAAAGGTCCAGGAAACCTCATTGGCCCTCTCATGGGTCCTTGTCCAGGATAAGGTGGGGGAGGCCGGTTGAACATTTCCCCCTGTTGCCCAGGGCCCTCCTGGGGCCAGGGTCGTGGTGTTCCTGGGGCTATGTTACCAGCAGGCTCTTGAGGGCCCCTCTCCTGTCGAATCGCACTCCTTTGTTGCTGCTGCTTTAGGATTAGTTCTCTAATTCGTTGTCGCTATAAAACAACAAGCGTACAGAAATTTAAGCCTTTTTAAACACAAGGTCAATGAGCCATTTCTAGCTCACAATAATACTTGTCAGTTCATTCTACAGTTAATGTGTAGCAATGCAAGTCAAATGTCCCTTTTTTAAATTGATTGCTTATGCATACTTTCAATTCTGCAAAAGCACATAAGTTTTCATTTCCTATATCTGACATGTTGTCATGTTCTGAAAACATACATTGACAGTGATCTGTTTCCTGCTATATTTACATATACTGTACATACACTAACAAAGAGGTAAATTGTACTTATATCTTTAATCTATATTTTTTTTTAATTTAGGCATTGTTTCCGTATTGTATAAAAACCTTTTACTCCCTAACATTACAGAAACCCATCAAAGAATGGAGCAAACAGGTCACCTATGTTTTATCTTGTTTCCTTTTGTGTATCTGTGCCCATGTTTCATGTTGGCTTGAATCTGTAACTGAATTGCTGCGTAGGTTGTTTTGTGACAGAATAAAGTCAAATCATGATCAGATAATGAGACAGGTTATTAACAAACCTGCTTTTATACAAAGCGACTTACAAGTGAGGGACATCACTAAAGCTTCAATGTAGTAGGAGACCTTGGTGTAAGTACTAGGTGCTACATCTATTTAATTAGTGCAAAGAGATCAAGTAAAGAAGTGTATCGACAGTACATAGTAAGTGATAGTTAGGCATGTTAGGTTGTTAGAGGTGTTAGGAGAGGACCCAGAAAGTAACAAAATATTAATGAAAAAAATAAGTAATATTTTAAATACATTGTTAAGGATTTAACGAAATGAAATGCCAAAAATAACATTTCAATAGTCCTGTATGAATGAACAGATTTAGAATAGAATGTAAACAAGAGTATTCATGTACCTGTCTGAGTCTTTCCTCACTCTCAGCGAGAGCAACACCCTGAGCCTCAGACGGCATTTGTGGGTTGTTCGACAGTTGGCCTGGGTCTTGAGGGACACTTCCATTGTTACCCACAGCCGACTGCTCTTTCATTTCCATTTTCTCTGTTGACTGTGGACGAGGGGTCATGGGGGCTTGTTCAAATGGGTCATGGCCAGGAGTCAGACTGGGTCTTCTGGAAGGTGACTGAATAAATCCATCTTCAGACACACTTGGGTGTTTTGGTGTTTGTGAGCCTGGATGAGAGAAGGGCTCCTGAAGCCTGCCTTGGGGTGGGGAGAAAGGGTCCTGGCTTCCCATTGGTCCTGGCCTTGGCACTTGTCTGCTGAGCCCATCAGGACCAGGCCGTGGGGTCCCTGGAGGCTGGGCGTAAGGGTCATTAAGCATTGGTCTGGGGGCCCCAGGCTGAGGAAACATGTCGCTACTTCCTGGCCTTGATGTCCCAGGTGTACTAGTAAATGGCTCTATTGGCCCCCTCTGGCTGCCTGGTGACTTGGAAAACCTTTCTCCCAATGATGGCCGTGGAGTACCAGGTGGCTGAGCATAAGGGTCCACTGAGTGGGAAGGTGACATCCTCTGTCCCGGGTGCGACTGATGAGTGAACTGGTTCATCCCACTGGGGCGTGGAGTAGCAGGAGCCTGTGAGTAAGGATCTGAGGATGGGCTAGGGATGTTTGATGGCTGACCGTAGTTGTCATGCGGACGCGGGGTACCGGGAGGTCGAGCATAAGGCTCGAAAAATTGACGAGGTTGAGCACCGGGTTCGTTGATGGATCGCTGGTTAACTGTAGACTGAGAGAAAGGGTCAGGAGCTGGCTTGTTAGGACCAGAGGGCTGGGCGAAGGGGTCATATGTAAAGTGGTCAGGCCTTGGAGTGGAAGGTGCATGAGCATAAGGATTTCTAGACATTTGAGTCATTGGTCCTGGCTGAGCAAAGTGCCCCTGAGGGTGATGCTGGCCCATTCTAGGAGGACTGGTGAAGTTGTCATTCCCAGATGGTCTTGGGGTATGCGGAGGCTGAGCATAGGGGTCATTCTGCTGATTCTGAGAAAACCTGTCAGTAGGATGTGGACCTGGGCGGCTGAAAGGATCCTGAGCCTGAGGAGGGGGCATAGGTGTTTTGAACAGAGGGACCGAGCCAGACTCATTACTTCCGGGGATTGGTGTTAATAAAGGCCTTGAGTAAGGGTCAGACAAAATCATCCTGTTCTGGGCCATGCGTTGATAGGCCTCAGTTCTTATCATGGGCCTTGAGTACGGATCTCTGCCTGGTGAACCCATTGGTGGTCTTCCCTGAGCTGCCTGACTGGCCCTGGGTGGACCCATGGGCTTCAAAAAAGGGTCCATTTCCCCAGTTGGCCTTGGGGTGTCAGGAGGTTTGGCATAAGGATCACTGCTCATGGATGTTGGAGAGCCAAAAGATTCATGAGCAGGAGAGGGCCGACCTCTGTCCTGCTGCTCCATCAAGGAAGTGGGGGATTTACCAGATTCCACCATTCTGCGACAGGTATTTGGCCCGAGAGTTGGCGGTCTTGGAGTCCCAACCATCTTGGCATATGGGTCCCATGGAGAGGAGGGTCTGGAACCAGAGGAACCTGGTGAGAATACCTGTGGGGACTGAGGTTGGGAGGAAGGGCCAGATGGAGGCGGAGGAGGTGGGCGTAAGAACACATCCTCTGGAGGACCTGAAGTAGGCGTCCCTGGTAGTTGTGGCCTGGCAAAGGCTTCTTTAGAGTTGAGCTGCTGCATGGGGGACATGCTGCCATTGCTGGGCTGGGAAGCTGGGCTCTGGTTCCCACTGGTGTTGCCGTCTCCCTCTGACTGGCTGTTGGTCTGCTGCTGTTGCTGCTGCTGCTGTTGTTGCTGCTGGAGTTGCTCGTTCTTAACTTGCTCCAATTTCTGAGTGGCTTCAATCTTGGCTTGCTGTTTGCTTTTCTGCCTCATTTGCTGTTGGAAGGGCACAGTGAAAAGTGGAATTAGACATCAAAAAGGATGCAGCAAATATCAGTCTCATGCCAAAAATGAACTGGACCTACTAACCACCAATGTCATCAGGGTTAATGTGGAGGATAGTGAAGTTGTTTAGGGAGCTTTACTAAACCACCACTTCTTAGCTGTCTTAATATAAAGTGGACCTGCCGCTGCATTCGCTGACTTCATTGCATACACTCTTACCTGTCTAAACTTCCACTCTTGTTCATGCTCTGACTCTTTTGGTTTCAAAGGGTCTTTAAACAGCAGTTCTGTGTCTAGTGGTATGTTGGGATCAAACACCTCAGGGGGCTGTTGCTGTGGATGATGCCTCTTCACCGTCTCATTCGACATCTGGACTTTGTTGATGCGCAGGGCTGCTCGGTTATCTCTTGCCTTTTGCTAAACAGCAAATCAATCACAATTGCAAAACAAACAAAAAAACAAAAAAAACAAAAAAAAAACAAAAACACATCAGGCATGAATACTTTATAAACACAAGACTGCAGGAAAAAAAGAGGTTATTTGTGCAACCCTGATTCGCTAATAAGTGTGATACTGGAGAAATTTCACTCATACTAATTAAAAAAATACTGGTGTGTGATGTTAAATTCTCTTTCACAGCATTTGCTTCAATATCTCTCTATGATACGTGAGGACTTCAGTATTGGCTGGCAAAGTCATATCAAACGATGACTTCCAGTTCCCCTCACGAGTCCAACTACCTCAGAGTGGACTTCATGCTCACAACAGCATGATGGGTAAGAGCAATGACATTCAAATTTTACAACCTCCCACATGCATGGATCGAGCATCAAACAGCAACCGCACCAACATCCCAAACAGATACGACCTGAGACAGTTCACAGTTTGTGAACATTGACTACTCTCTTTGACCACAGCCATCCTGTTTGTGATCCAGCAGCAGGGGTTATTTGGGCTTAATATTAAATATAACATTTCTATTTGATTTTGAATCAGTAAGGCCCTAAATCACTGAACATGTCCAAGGGATTGCTGCTGCATTGCCATTTTTACCCACACCATTTAGTAATTTGACTTCTCCAATTAAACATTTTTTTTCTTTGACATACTGGGTCTTTTGATTGCATAGCCAGGATCCTCTTCATACTGTATATAGCACAGAGGATGGAGGTCACCCTGTTCACCCTGTCTCAATCAGGTATCTTAATAGTTGCACTGGGGTGTGGCATATCAAAAGAAAAGGCTATGAAAGAGAAGTGCCATCATGTAAACCAGTGGCAAAATACCCTTAAAAATCACTAATGCAGGTTGCATTTTTTAATCAAGTCTAGGTCTTTGAAATTGGCCTCTGCCAGATAAAAATTACTTCTAGTGAACTTAATTACTGCGACCATAGTGAGTTCTAACACTGAGCAGAGCTTCCTATGTTAATTAGTTCATCTGTGAATGGCCGGATTTCAAATTGCATTGGCAAGAGGCAAGAGGCCAGATGCGATACAGGAGTCTGCCTTCTGCATACTAATATGTCAATGCAAATAGTAGTGACAGTTCAGGCTTTAAGACAGTTGAAGAAAATTAGCAAATTCAACAGAATGGTTGATCTTACCACATATGGGGCCCTGTCTTGTGAACTAGCTTTCCTCCAAAGTTTTGCAATTTGCTTTACTCTTGTGGACCAGTCTGTTGAAAGAATGAGAGGAGGAGTTGTCATGCCAACAGTCTCACAGAGCATACAAGGTATTTTTTGATCTGTGTGACTGAGTCAGTGCAGTGGGTACACCCAAACAATACCCAGAGATAAGCAGAAATAACAGGAATGACACCACAAACTAAAAAATGATCACTGACTCATCATGGACAATAAAGCTAGAGCCATACACCAACCTGGGTATTCCTCTTTGAGGTTGGGGAAATTGACATTGGTATAGAGGACGGGTGCAACAGTGGCTAGCTCTCCAAGTGTCTCTTCCTTCTCCCACTTAAGTGTACTCCTTTGGGCATTGGACATGGCTTCAGTCTCCCCCTCAGGCAGAGATCCAGGGGGTGTAGGGCCAGGGCCATGGGCCGGGGAGGGCCATGGACCAACTGCCTCTCTAGGCATCTGATTAAACTTTCTATCCCTGTAATAACAAAGGAAAAGAGGTGATGAGGTCACTATGGTCTGATTTTGCTGAGGTAATAAAACCCCCAAAAAATCAATCTTGAAACAGTTTAAAGGAAGGAAGCATTACCTTGGATTGTCAGTGAAAGGCATACGGTTAAGGGGGGAGAAGTTTTCTGGGATACAGGGTCCTGCTCCTGGATTTGTGGGGAAGCGTTGGTTTGGTCCCATCATACCATTGATCATTGGCATCCTTGGGAACATGGGATTCCCTGCACATAATTTTTAAGAAGTGAATTAGATCCATAGACTTTAGAGTCAAGCTCCATATGTTTGACCATGACAAGGTGATAAATGATGTACCTGGGTTGGGGTGAGGCATGCTAGTGCCAGGTGTGGCAGGAAGGGGCCCTGGACCCTGGGGGTGAGGCATCTGTGGTGGTGGAGGTGGTTGGCTTGTGCTGGGGCTAAGGACTGCTGTGAAGAGATCCTCTACATCCTTACCCTCCAGCTCTGTAATAGAATGTGACAGCACAATGTTGTGTGTTAATATTCAATAAGGCAGGAGAGAAAATTTATAAACAACTCTCAAAATGTCAGAATGTATTCCTCCCCTCCCCTTTTTTTGTAATTACATTAGCAAATGGCCACAGAAGGATGGTCCTTTACAAAAAATAGACAAAAATGACTTAAAACACAATTTGGAAAGAATTTAAATAAGAATGAAAAATGTTGAAAAAGGCAATTTATTGCCTTCATTAGGAGAGATAATAGGATAATTCATTTTGAACATTTACTGCTTTAAAGACAACTGTACAATTTATCTCACTGACATGTAAAACTTTATTTAGCAAAATACTGAACCATGGTTCAGTATTGAAGTTCACAAACAAATCATATTAATAAGCATGGGACAACACTGGATCAAAGTTTTATGAAAAGGATGAAATTACAAACCTGGAATTTTGTAAAGTTTGCTGAGAATTGATTCTGAAACAAAGAAAGAATCAGAAAAAGATCATTATTCATCTTATATTCAGTTTTAAAATAGCAGCATAAAACAACTGAAAGTGTCTGGATGTCTGGTCTTTTACACTGACCATCGGTGACCATCTTGTCTAGCTCTGGGCTGAGAATACCGTCCAGGGGTTCCTCTGGGAGGGTTCGAGGCGTCCTCCGGCCAGCCTGAGACTGGGAGGCCACTGGGGAACTGTCTGCCAGGGGCCCAATGTCCAGACCAGCTGTGGAAACACACACAGACATACAAAAACAAATCATAACATGCACACACACACATACACACACACACGCAAACAGACACACGCACACAAAACAACCAACAAAATACCTGACCAAGAACGTGATCATAAATATAGACTTGAAGTAAGAACATGTTTATTGTCTTAGCAGCCTGTGGAATGCAATAAAAACTGAACAGTATATGATTACAGCTCCTTGGGGTGCCTGTGTTGTTTAAAGGGGGTGTTTTCAGAACTGTGAAGAGACAGACAGGTCATACTAATTCTCAGTAAAGATACACAAACACTTGAATGTTTGTGGAGGAAAATATTGCCGTGACGCGTTCATTACATTGGTTCTTTGTACTAAATTCCTATCAATCTCTTTGAAAAAGAAGGTTCTACCAAGTTAGGGATGATTGCATCCAATAGTTGGCAACATCTGTATTAGAACTAAATTATATCAGCCCATAGAGCATTTAAACTGAACAAAATCTTTAAAAAAAAAAAAACGAAGGACATGTTTTTGTCATCCAACCACAGGTCTGAGAACAGAAGACCTTCGACATCTTCAGGAACTGGAAGGACATTCACCAAAGCCCTTTGTCCTCTAAATTGCTTCGTTCTAAGCTGCTCATTTCTTGAATACCAGGATGTCCTTGTCAGTTTGTTTCTTTTCTATCTTGTAAACATCTTTGATTAGGTAGCTATGAATTTGTTCTTGTATTTATTTTTTAAAAAATGTCACAACTGTGAGAAAGGGTTTAGGAGGCTCATAATCAAGGACTGATACACCATACGCATCTAAGTGAATACTGTGAACTGGGTTAGGGAAGTACAAAGCAGTTTATGAGTGTTAAAACAATCTGAAAAGGTTAAGCTAAGTATGAAGCAGCTTATATACATGCACTCAAATAGAGACACACACTGTAAGAGAGGAAGAATGCACTAAAGCAAGGGATTAGTAGGCCATAGCACCCTTACCAAAAGGAGGAGGTGAGCTGTCAACCTGGAAGGGGCAAAAATCAAGACCTACAAGAACCCAAAACCAGATAAAATGAGTGAAAAAATAGTGAAGACATAACAAGCACAACACGCTTCAGACAATGCAAACAAACAAAAGATAAAATCAAAGATAAGAATGTGACATTAAAAAAATAAAAATAAAAAATCAATAAGTGGTGAAAGCAAAATAAAATTGCTGTCTGAGGAAATTTCTGAACCGAGAGGAAAAGATTTTGTAAACCTATGACTAGGTGACCATTAATAAATTCTTAGCGCTGTGACTGCCTGTGAGATATATGACGCACCAGAGTCATTGCTTGGCTTTCCGAGCATTCCCAAGATGTCTGCATCAGTGTTCAGAACATCAGATAGATCAACTAATGGTTCCTCAGACGTCTCTGTAGATGGGAAAAAAGGAAGAAACAAAAAAAGAAAGAACCAAACTGTCACAAATCATAATTGATGGTGATGTTGAACGGATTGTGATTTGGAACCATTTCTTTGGATGTAGAATTTGTTCTGGTTTAAACAAAAGAGGAAACTGCACAATATGTAAACAATAGTGATATTGAGTGGCCCCTGAGTGACTTGAAAATTTACTATATCATATTGGTCTTCCAAGAGTATAATTTAACTGATTAAAGTGACTCTCAGAGAATTTCTACCAAACATATGAACTGTAATATCAGGATACCAGAATACTACAAAATCTTGAAGATGGACAACACTGCTCTCTATCCTAAACGTCATTGATTCAGTCAATACTGTTGTCCTTTGGCCTCAAGCTTTGCATTACTGAATATTGTGAAAAGAAAGGAATGACAGCAAATATATTTTGCTTATTTAGTCTCTTACAATCTTTTCCCTTACAAATGTAACATTTTCTCTAAAACACAGACAGAATTAAAAAAATAAATAAATAAATTGAAAAACTGCCTGCAGGTCACTGTGTTCAAGTGTACAATGTTTTAATTTTGAACTGCAAATCCAGCTTTTCTTAAACAGTCTGATAATTGAAAATGCTGGCCACTTTTCATTGGTGATGTACTTATACTCTTACTTTCTGTATGTCCACAATTCCAATATTTTGCTTTGAGTGGAAGCAAGGATCTATATCAAATAAATGTCTATCTCTCTATAAATGTGACATAACCCTCATAAGATAATTTCTAACCATACTATGGGTATGATTCAGTATCTCAAATTCCTTAGGTTTAGCCTTTGACAATTTCAACCTACTTCAATATAACTGTTTTAGTAACTTGGTAGTAAGAACAAAACATCAAAGACTGTCCATGAAAGATCTCGAGTTCTATTGTTGTCAGACAGATGTCTGTGCTCCTTCAATAAACAGCTACTTGAATGCTTTGTATATGGGTCTTCGCAAATAAAAGTTTCATGTCTTGCTGCCCGTTTGACACACCTGACACACATTCGGGTCTGGAGAGTTTTTTTTTTCTTCAGTAATTTGATATTTTCTGATAAAAAACTGAGGAGGTAAAAGAATAATAGGTTTGTTGAGCTTTTTTAGTTGAACAAGTTTGGATATTTTAGCAACTAGGAACAAGACCAACAACAGAACCAGCTATCTGACCCTATCCCTCTTCGACTGACACTGATTTGATATGTACCAGACTATGTGATGCAATACGAGGCAATAGGATGCAATTCCAACACAAGACATTCCCAGTTTGCTTTTACTGCAGTTTAGCCAGTTGTTGCAACAAGGAATCTTAAAGAAATAATCTTTCTATCTGTAATGGTTTTCTAGTTTTAAAGAACTGGTTTCAGTAGTAGACTTTTTCACTGTGCATAGATGTTAGTGAGTGGTGTATTAAACAGTGTGATGGCAGCGGCTGCACGCCATTTGGCCGTGTGGAAATCTGCTTAAATAAATACAGGTGGCAGGTATGATGTGGAATCTCATCTTGATCACCTGCTGATCAAACAGTGACAAGACTACATACACCATAAACAGGCAACAATTATGCTCAACAACATAATAAACCACCATTTGTTAGCGTGCATGGAACTTTTTCCATTTGGATTCAGCCATGACGAGCCGTGTGAAACATGTGTTTACCAGTCAGTATTGTTATTCTGTTTGTTTTCTGGCTGCACGACTAGTCATTCAGGTCGGCACAAGGAGTGTGTGAGATTTCATGTAAAATTGAGAGAAAGTTTGCGAGAGCAAGAGACAGAGTGAGTGGGCAGGGGAGACAGAGCGAGCTTGCAAAGGAAAGTGAAACTGAAACTTCACTTTATTTGCCACTTATGGACTGAAATTCTGCATAAGTCTTTGGTTTAGCAGTAATGTGAATGGAACTGCAGTTGCTGACTCGAGTCTGAACGCTAATTCAGACCACAGATTAACCTTTGACACTTTGACTTTGTCTTGGATGAATGGGTGAAATCCAGTGTGAACATGTGTTCAGTGGACCTGGGTCATACCCATTTACTCCTGTATAAAAAGGACTAATACCTTCATTGGGAGAAAAATGCATCGCATAAAAGACACTCTTAGGCACCAAAATATAAAGATAAACACAAAACTATCCGTTGTGTCAGTCTTTTTCAATACCTGTATCATTTCCCTTCTAGCACTGGTTTAATTCAAGCCGTTCTTAGTTCTCAGTAAGTCATTACATGCCTTGTATTGGATAACCAGAGTAATACGTACGTGCTGCTGTGGGTCTGCTAGGAAGGGATGTTGCTGAGGCACTGAGCAGAGGGTCTGATGAAGGGTCCAGGAAGCTGGTGGTGGGGTGCTTTCTCTCCACTTGGCTTTGCCCTTCTTCCAGTAAGCCTGGTTCGACCCCCTGCTGCCTGCTCTGCTTACTTTTGTCCAGCAGGTCCTTTCCAAAGAAAGCCTCCTGAACATGACATCACAAAGCACTGGTCACTTCTCTGTGCTGACACTTTTCAAAGTTTACCTTTCTTGACATCAGTCATGGGAAACACCATGTCACATAGAAATGACTCAGTGCCAATGAAGGCCCATGAGAACTGACCAGAGTGAAACAGAGAAGCTCTGAAACTAGGAGTCATGTTGGTGCTGATCCCACTTTTGTCAGCTCCCACCTCCCCCAACCACTTATACCCACAAGACTACTATCCTCAATGACATGTAACTGCAGCTCACTGCTGCACCAAGTCATTAAAAGCCCAACATGTTGCTATCTCAATAATTAATGAAATGTGTTTCACTGTGTCGGACCTTTAGGTTAGACTGAACACCCCCCCTTTCTGCTACTGTAGTAGGATAAAGAGCAGCACTGACAGCTGCCAGTGGCTTAATGCACATCACATATCTATGTTTTGGCCAACACAAGGTGACACTGAGATATTGGCTAGGGACAAGGACCCTTGAAGTCATCTCCAGTTAAGTTTTCATATGTCAATTCACAACCCAGACAAGGAGCCATTTAAAGAGCATGATCAGAGACGAGTATCCTCTACTGTGAGTTCCTTTAGGCTGTTCCTCTTTCAAAAAAGCTCACAGAAGGGGCACCATGCATCAAAGTTCTGTAAGTGGTTTCCAGGCAATGTACTTTGGATTCCCAACCTTCCCAAGGGTGAGATAAAATGCATTTTATGAAGATATGGCGTGACAAGACCAGACAGTCCGTGTATGTGAACGCCAGGCTTGCATAACAATAAAACAAAAATAGTTTTGCAATCAACTGATGAAATAATTTGTTTTCACAAATGTTATGACTGTGACTTTTAGATAATGTAATGTTTAAGATGAAACATCTACCATTAGAAAAATGTGGCACCTATGTTTATAACATGAGTTGCATTGATTGTTATTAAATCTAGTTATTTGTGAGTACTTTTGTAGCATTTTACACTGCAAGGTTATATAGAAGCTATACACTGACGTCCTGTTATATCCCCACTATACAGATTATTTGTTTACTGGTCAAACAGCAAGTGTGCTATCCAAAGTGACAGACCTGCAGATAGGTAGGAAATGCCTCCTCTAGTTTGGTTTTCTTCTTTCGGTAACGTTTCTTTATTTTTTCTGGGACCTCTGGTCCAGGGGGCGTCTCATCCACAGGAGTATCAGGCACTGCCTCTGTCCATCCTGCAACAAAGAAAAAAAAATAAACATCATCTTTAAGCTCTTATTATGAAATTAAAACATAAACTGACGGATCGGGAGATAGTCCACTATAATGCACGTGTGGATAGATTATAGGTGTACAGACCCTCATCTTTTCCAACAAGGTTCTCTGTCACGGAGCCAGAGGAATCCTTTCTGCAGAGGGATCGTTTGGCCTTGCCTGGACCTTGGCCTGGACGGCTCCTCTGGCGGACCATGAACCCACCAATGCCTTTTAGGAAGAAATTTAATATTAATAAATCTACCAATAACAATACCATTTTGATATCACAAAGGTGATACGATTTAAAATATACTGAGTTTTGCCTGGCTTTATTAATTGTCCATTGCATTCAGCATGAATGCTCAGAAACAGTAGACAGAGCCCTCCCAAAGCAAGATGGCAGAGCTTTGCTAGAGCTACATCGTCGGGCATGTACTGCACCATTTTACGCTTCAGAGAAGCTGTCTCCTTCAATCAGGTGCCCTACCCGGCCGGTACGGTTTCCTCTTCCTCTTCTTGCCGCCGTCGGCCCCCTTGGAGTCGTCTTCTGCTGGCTCTCGCTCCAGGCTTGAGTCAGACTTCCCCTCACAATCTATGAGCTCCGCCTCTGCAAGAGGGAGAGAGCATTGATGATGAGTGACAGCCCTGCAGCAGAGAACACCCCAGCCAGGCCCCTCAACACAGCGCCAGGGTCAGTTCTATCTGAACTCCACTCAGTGGCAGGACATTAGCCTGATTGAAATTAAGTTCACCAGTTCCATTACTAAGGAGCTACATTTCCAGAGGGATTTTTTCATACTCCTTTCTTTTTTCAGTGGCAAGTTATATTATTTTTTTCAACTCTGACATAGAGAAACACTTTTGATAAGGATAAATATGGGGTAAGCAAGTTCTATTATTACTAATTAGTAGCATTCCATGCAAATCGTCTGCATCTTACCACAACTGTCCACAGCATTTTCTTAAACAAGGAATATCGTTTACATAAAGCTCAACCCATTCCTGATACTTTTATCTATTTATTCAAACACACAGTGCACAGTAGAAGTAGCAACCAGCAGTTTAAACTAATGATGTTTACGCTGAGAGCCAGCATCGGAACGCAGTTAGCAGATTGACATTTAACACATTTTAAAGTTTTTGTCCATGAGAGAGGAGCTGTCCAAAAAAGCCTCCTTGCCACAACACTTCTATCTAGCTAGGTGTACCTAATAAACTGCCAAATGGGCGTATATACAGCATTAAAAGAAATGTATGATGCAGGCTACATTCTGTTAATGCAGAGCTAATTGTCAAACAGCATTACTTTTAGTAATTTTAAGTGTGAACTGCACAGCTGTATAGTGTTGAAAAACATCAATACTGAAAAAACAAAAAACATCCACCCAGCTGGAATAATTGGAAAAAGCCAGTATTGATAGTCCACGTCACTGCTATACTTAAGGTCTCTGATAAACAGTCTTGAGATGAAAGAAGAAGATTGTGTGGGAAGACAAGTACCTCTGTTGTCCTCCATGTCTTCATCACGAGAGTGTTCTGAGAGGGGGTCTACAGGAGCTTGAAGCACTGCCACACTGTTCTGGTTAATGATTTTTAGCTTCAGCTTTGGCTTGGGTTTTCTGCGCCGTGACGCTGTAGCAGACAAGCTCTGGAGCTGGCATAGCCCTGACTCTGTCAAACAAACACCATCCTGGGTGTAGGTCCTTGATAGATCTGAAAAGACCAAAAACGAGAATGAGCATAAACAGTATAAGCTAAAGTCAAATCACCATCTTGTAGAAAGAAAAAAATACTTTTTATTGTTACATGTAATCTATCAATTTTGAAGCTGTGAACTTACCCATTTCTTTTGCCTTTGTGACAATCTGCGTCATAACTACAGGCTCAATAGCGTCTCTGGCCTTGGTCACAACTGCAGCAGCACAGGGCAAACAAAAGCCATTAAAAACAAACAGCAGAAAGACGAGGAACAAATGTCATGGTTGAGCCTATTCACTCTACTGCAGACACATACACAAAAAAAAAAAAACACTGTAAAAAAAACACATTTAGAAGAATCACTGCACTCCTACCTTTAGTGGTCTTGAAAGCTCGACACATTGTGCAGTCAAAGCTGCTTTCTGCGGCTTTCTCTACATCTTCCTCTGAATGGAGACCCTGACAAGAGGCATGAAACCATCTATGTACAGAGAGAGAAGAGAAAATTTAGATAAGAGCAAACTTTGTAAAAAACAAACAAACAAAAAAAAAAAACATTAGTACCACAGGGTCCTCTTGAATCATTGCTCACCTGTCACATTGGCGGCACTGCACGACGATGGTGCCTTCACTGTAGTCCACTAGGCAGATGGGGCATGTTGGAAGGCTGGCACAGGGTGCACACTGGGTGTAATTATTCTGCCAGTCACACCTTAGGCCTGGTGTGGTGGCGCCACACTGGGTACAGGACACACACCTGCAGGAGACACAGTGGACAGAGGTCATTCCACATAGGTTACTTCAAAGAGGATAATTCAGATTAACTGAGATGCAAAGACCCAGCCTACTTGGTATGCAAAGAAGTTAGCAAAGATGAAATTATTTCCTGTTCGTTTGTGATTTTAAGAATAATTTTCAGTTCAGTTCATCCTCTCTCCGTAAAAATATTTAGAACGTTAACTTTACATGCCTTTGTATAGTTGAAAACAGTTTTTTTCGGGAGCTGATTTCCAAATTTAGATGGGTACAAATAACACAGTGCTCAATAATGTCTAATTGTTCCATTCCTTTTGTAAACTTTGCCTGTTTACAAAAGCAAATTTTGGGTGAGACGATTAACAAGTTACTCACCATTTGCACTTCCAGCTGTCCTTGGGTACGTTCTGCAGTGGGGGGTCCAAGCAGTAGGTGTGATAGCTGATGTCACAGTCATCACACAGCAGCAAGCGGCCAGGATCTGTAGCCTGTCCACAGGCCTCGCACACTGTACACTCCAGACAACGCCAGCCTTTACTCAGCACCACCTTGGTGATCTATGAAAGTAATAATGAGACATTTATATGTAGGTATGTATGTGAAAGGATCGCATTTCTATTAGGTACTTACAGTATGTACACTGAATGTGTGGTGTACAACCTCAACAGTTAATGTACCTTTATGCCGACACAGAATGGATGGTAGCACTGGCCACACTGAGCACAAGCCAAAAGACGGCCTTCTGCTCCAAGGCCAAAACTCCCACACACCACACACATGTCCTAAAAGGAAGAAAGACATCATGAGTTATCTCATCTCCCTGAGCCAGTGAGAGCCCCAGTTTTATTTTTCAGATTTTCCACTCAAATTTTTTTTTTTTTCTGTGCTAAAAACAAAGAAACTAGTCAGCTACTGTCAGTTTCAGCTCGTCTACAAGAACAAATCTGACAACTGTTCAATATTTATCTCACTACTGTATCACATGGGTATCAATACGTTCTGCATATTTATTTATTGCCACTGGCTGTATAAGTAAAAGGTCACTGTCTATGTTGTTGCTATCCTGGAAGCAAAGAGACGGAAGAAACTGCTTCCTTTACCCTAGACCTGCTTGATAGATAAGGATGCTGCAGTTGTCCTATATCCTCAAATATTAATGTGCATAAAAGCATCTTGAAATGCAAGGTTAAAGGAATACAGGATGCTTTTGGAAACATTGGACTTTTAACAAGGATAATTGACTGAGCCCCTTTTAGCCCCTGCATCACATTCACATTTACATCCGAGAGCCAGACAGAACAGTCTTTGCTCACTGACCGGTTTCACTTGAGCCATTCAGGATAAGTGCCTTAATAAGCAGCACCTCAGCTGTATTGCTTAATTGATTAGTCAACAGTTTTTCTATAACAATACAAGATTTCAATCTCTCAATTACTGTCCCACACCGCTAACTTCAGTTACTGCTTTCTTTAAAACCTTGATGAATATTTGACAGTGGTCATCAGTCACTTACTATTACCGTAAATTAAATTCAGTACAGGAGCATTACTTTGAAGGCAGAAAGTAAGAAACAATGAAATTTCAATATGATCCTGTGTTATATAATCCACTGCACTTCCTGCAGGCAGTTGGCAGGATCTCCACAGGAATTAATGATCTCCAGAGGGAGAGATCTTTAAGCACAGATTTAATTTCAGGCAATCTAAGTGAATGGAGAAATGCGTGGATCAGTATTTAAAATGAAATACATCAGCACACTCAACAATTAAAAAACAACACAACACCTGTTTTAGTGTGAAACTGTCATTGCTGGAGAATATGACCACCGTGTTATGCATGGCATTCTCCTCCTCCTCCTTGACTGGGTATGGTGTTTCTATTGTAGTGATCTGCATATCAAGGAAAGAATACACAAAATAAACAAATATGAGTAATTAGGATTCACATACTACAGTGGATTAGTTAGTATCAGCTATTACCATCTACTTTTCACAACTGCTTAGTCAAATTTTTAGCGATATCGAGGAACTGGCCCCCAGGAAATGTGCAACCTTTACCATAAAATGAAACTAGCAGTTTTCTCTGCCATTAACATTAATGCTGCTTATAATACATCATCCATGTCTTTAGCTGGAGGGAAAACAAACACTCATTTGCATATGGAGCAATATTTGCTAAAGACATCAAGAAGTCATCCAGCTGATAGCACATACCCCAGGGTTGATGCTGGGACTCGCTCCATTCTTGCCTCTGGCCCTGCCGCGTCCAGCTCTACCTGACAGACCTGCCCCTCTGGGCCTCCTCCTCCCAGGGAAGCCTGAACCTCGACCCTGTGGAGGCAAGACAAAAAATAAATAAATAAGTAATTCAATAAAAAAAAAGAAAAGAAAAAAAAGAAAAATCAGACCAGACAATGACCACTCCTCATCTCATTCGTCATTTGCAGAAGTCTGTTTCACTTTTGTACATGCACAAGTCAGTCAGTTTGCTCAGCAGACAAGATTTAAAGGTTTGCCAGGGGGGAACCTTCCACCACTCCCAGTTCAAGTCTAGAAATGTAGTGTTATGCTGTTTGTTGCTTGGATGCAAGCTGCTACTGCACAGCCTGTCTGACAAGTGATTTACCTAATACATTCACATATTTATTTTAGCACTGTGACGGCTTTGAAAAAAAAAACAGTTAATTCTAAGAAAGGATTAAAAAAAAAAAAACGTAACTTTTTAGAAATCGCCAACATTTGAGCATCATGCAACTGCTCAACAAGATGAAAAAATAACCAGTCAAACTGATTCTTGACATTTTGATAGTTCATGGAAATGGCTGTTATTTGAGATACACTACAATTTCTGCCAGACAGCCAGCAAATGATAGAGTTGAGAAAAGGCTCTGAGCTGTTGTTCTAGCAATGTGAGTTCCACTGCGCCTTTGGCACATTTCTGACAGGAGGCCTCTGCCTAATCGTGACTGTCAAACCTAAGTCTAACTGAACCTTCCAGCACCTGCCCCAAAATCCCTTCCTATTTACCCCCACATTTGGCCCTGATCCCATCTGAGGCCCCTCCCATCCACTGTGCTTCCTGACAGACACACTGTATGATGGTGTTTAACCTGGACTGGACCCCTGACACAGCATACAAATTAACCCTCACCCAGCTTTGTTAAGAGTAATGACTGTCACCATGGCAACCAACTGCCACAGACTTTTTGCTAAGTCAAAATCAAAGAAGAAAAAAATATATAAATACTTTAACATGTTTGAATAAGACAGAAAAAAGAGCACAGCAGTGCATGTTTGACAAAGAGGAAACAGGACACAATCATTCATTAGTGAAAAACTATTACATCCTATTCTTATTACTCCACACCCTTGATCTCTCAATTCAACTGCAAAGCCAGCAAAACCAATTATCATCACAGCCACATCTTTCAGTTCCACTTCATAAAGTCAGTAGCTTAGACACTGGTTTTTGAATCTCCTCCTCTCACTGTAAGGTGGTGGTAATTGTTAGTGTAGGCTACAAAATTCATCACAGTGACATTCAGGAACACTCGGGGAGTGTGCGTCACTAGGGTAAACAGAGGGCTAACAGAGGGCAGCTGCTGCCCTGCCGTCTCTGGTGAGCCACAGTATTTACCACTCTGATGCTCCAGCCGGGGCTGCCAGAGGACTGCCTGGTCTTTGGGACGTCCCACCCCTCTGGCTGGTCTGGCGACCAGGACAAGGGGGAGCTCACACTGCTATGGGGGCTCCATGCACCCTAAGGTAAGGGGGGGCGGGTGAGAGAGTGAGAGAGAGGGGGGGAGGAGGGCGACAAAATGCAGCAACTTAAAAACAAAGCCAGCGAAGAAATAAAACATACAAAGAAAGATGTTAGAGAGATGTAGTGAGCTTCTAATGTAGCTATTGGGGAAGTATTCAATACACACCCATCTTTGCAGAGCTACAGTATGGGACAGCATCAGATGTGCCGAAAGGTGAACAGTTTAAGTTATTAGGTTACATTCTGTGTTAAAGCCAATCCGTAGGGTTTTCATGCATATGAGTTAGGGGGGCATGTTTCTAATAGACTCTTTGTAGAGGCAAAACTAGAGAGCACAATTGTGTTAGTTGCATTTCACACAGCAGGATCTGCCAGGGCATCATGGCACTATAAAGCAGGAAAAGAGGCCCTGTAACCTCTCGCCATGACAACGGTGTATGTTTGGCATGTTGACAAAACAAGGGGAATTGCGTCAGCACGGCAGCACATGAACCCATCAGACAAAAGCATGCTGGACTAAAGAGGAGTAACATTCAAATTTCTGGAATAGATTTCCCCAGGCCTTGTGTAACAAATTAGTTTGGGCCATATGTTTACTTAAGAGATGGGATATATCTGGGGAAAAAAAAAATACATTTCGCAAACTAAATTAGTCTACCCTCACCAGCATCATTCATAATATATTATAGCCATGGGTGTGATTCAATTCCCATTATTATTTGTCTGAGAGAGTCTACATTCAGTGTCAGTGATAGTCTATTATAATTCATTTGTCTTAGCTACACTGAGACACTAATATTAGGACGTTTTTTCACAGCCACAAGTGACCCACTGCAGTTCATGGTGTAATATGGAGATAACTTGGACATGGTAATGGTAGTGGTAATTTGTGACTTGATGAATGCTCATTCTCAATGGGACAATAAAGTGGCACATGTTTGTAACATGGACATGAGATGAGCAGAGACTGATGACCATACCACTGAGGTGGAATATGGTGAGGATGGTCAGTAAAATGTGTTTCAGCCATTAAAAAAAAAAAAAACAAACAAACAAAAAAAAAACACGACAATTCCTTCTCGAAATAATTAATACCTCAACTGAGCTCTGTATGAACACTGTGACTAACTAGTCATGTGGTGCACAAACATGTGAAGAGGGCACGGGGAGTTGAGAGAGAGAGAGAGCATCATTTGCTGTACTGTCCTCCTGTTATGCTTGAATACTACTACAGTAATGCTACTACTACTATTAGAAAAGAGAAAAATGACTAGCATTAAAAAAAATTAAATCGGCAAAACTGTAAAACATATCTTAAACTGTACAAGCCCCTTCAACATAAAAAAAAACAAAAAAACAAACAAACAGAAAAACAAAACACAAATCCTCCACCTCTTAGAGCAGAGCCCACAGGACACACATGTCATTGGAGTACATGAGGTATGAGCACCATTTATTAGCTCCAGGGATATATCATTTGGGCAGGAACAGTGAAAAACCACCCAGATCCTGACACAAAATGCATCAGTGATTCTTCGTGAGGTGATATCCAGGTTCCTACCTGTTTCACTCGTGGCCTCCCAGGAGAAAACTTCCTCTTGGTAATGGCTGGCTTTCCCATTCCAATCTTTGGGGTGAGTGGTATGAGGGTGGTGGTGGTCATCACGCTGCTGTGGTCACCCAGTGAAGGTAGGATATGGGTCTGTGGTGGCTCTCTCGGAGATGTCCCTCGGAGTAGAGGGGAGGAGTGGGAAGAAGAGGAAACCATTTCAGCCAACCTTTCCACAGACGTCTTGAGGGGTTTCTCCTCTGAAGACAGGCTGGGAAATGACAGATTAGGCTTGCTCTCTGGTGTAGTGTCCATCTCCTCTGATGTAGTGGAAGCTGAGGGCTTAACAGTCTCTGCCAGATTCCTGTGAAAAATACCCTCCCTCATCTCCTTGTTAAGTTCTTTTGGAGCAGTTTCCAGAAAAGAAGCCCTGACTACATCCATACTTGAAGGTTGGGGTAGTGAGACTTCCATTGGTTGGTCCGTGAAAGGTACTGATGCAGTACTTGGTTCTTTGGTGGCTGAGATGATGGCCTTAAAATCCTTTGTGCTGGGGTTGGCCATGCCCTGTTCAGAGCAGGCCTCTGTCTTTGCTGGTTTGATTTGTAATGTGGTGTCCGGTGTCTGTAGAGCCTCTGTAGAGAGCTGGGCTGGAACAGACTCCGGCTCCTGGCTGGGAGTCGCTGAAGATGCAGGACTCTCTGTAGATGTGAGCTGGGTTCTTGCTGCTGGTTTTGTTTCTGTTGGAGGAAATACACAGTGGTCAGAAAAAACATATATTGATATATTCACATCATGCACATCATTAACAAATGAAAAATGATAAAGTGGAAACCAACATAATACTAAGCTAATGGACTTCATGTGATCAGCATCGCAACAGAAATGTTTATCTCATTAATGTAAATGACACATGGATTTGGTGGGAAGTGGTCTGGTCTAATAGTAGTTGTAAACAATGTTTACACGGCATTTTAACAGCATGAATAAACTGTGAGCAATATATTTAACACAAACTTTTACAACAGCAATCACTGTTATATTATTACAAATCAACATGAGGTTCGACAATGCAGATTAATTACTAAATACAAGCTGTGAGTACAAACCTGGTTTGAATTCTGTGAGGAGTCTGTTGACAGAAGGTTCAGTAACCTGCCTCTCAACATCTGCTTCCACTGAGACATCTAAAAGAAAGAAGATTCATTTAAAAAGGAGCTTCTGTGAAAAAAAAAAGGAATGCTCGTATGTCAATAGAGAAACTAAAGAATCTAAACTGAAGACACTGGATAGACTTTGAGCACATTAAGATTAAGTGGTAAGGCAATGAAGAAATAAAGAAAGCAGACAGTACAGAAATGTCAGGCTTGGATGCCCAGCAGTAACCCCGATGGAGAAAAAAGATAAAGACATTTCTGCTCGCATCAGTTCTAAACCACCTCTTTAGAGCTGCAGCTAACAATCGTTTTCGTTATCAATTAATCTGCTAATGATTTTTTCCAATTTATCATTTAGTCTTATATAGATAAAAAAAAACGTTGAAAATGGCCATCACAATTTCACAGAGCTGAATGTGACATCTTAAAATGTCTTGTTTTGTCTGACCCAACGTCTGAATACCTCAAAATATTTGGTTTACAATGATGTGTGACAGAGAAAAGCAGAAAATGTGCTCATTTGAGTGACAGTTTCACTATTTTCGGATGAAAAATTACTAAAATGATTAACTGATAATAAAAGTAGTTGATTGTTTTTCTGTCAATTGACTAAATGCTTAATTGACTCTACACAGATATTTCAAAGAAACTTAAACCAAACAAGACTGTACTATGATATGAATCCTGAAGTTGTGGGAAAAAATATTAATGTCATCTGCTTTTAGTAAAATCACAGTTTTTCTGTGAAAAAGGTGAACAATTTTCTTTATAAACTCTCATTTAACAAATAAAACTATTTGTTGCAGATCACCAATTATCTCTTCAACCAAAAAAATAATTTTATATGGTTCTTTACAAGTGCACGTAGAAAAAGATTAGACATTATATAGGGATGTAACATTAATTTTGCTGTTCATACTTAATGAACTGTTGCACAAGCCTTGAAATGGAAGTGACAGAAGTGTTACTGGAAGGGGGGTGGCTTTCCAGTTACAAGCAGTAGAGACGAGCTTGTATCAGGCTACATTTGGTATTAATCTAGGTTCTCCTACTCTCTCTCTCTCTCTCTCTCTCTTTGGCGCTGTAGTGTCTCCTATCCTCTCTCTCCATTTGGTTTTGTATCAAAGACATCAATGCATTTGACTAGTCTGGCATGAATAGAACTAGTCATTCCTGGCTATCAGGCATCCACACATCGAGCCAATATACTGCCAGACAGCCTCTGACAGTACAGATAGCCTAGTCTTAACGAGGCACCCACCATTTCAATCCACAAGTTCCCATGTCACACTGATCCTGACACACACATGCACCTGCTAAGCATCTCTGCCAGGGAAGGGAGTAACCATGACAACCAACATCCCAGGGTCTGTGTGCTCTGGGCTCATGACTGTGCAGCTTGCAGGTGCTCATCCGGTGCCGATGCCAGAAAGTCAATTAGGAGATGGGCTTCCAACCATCTCCAGCCTTCAACTATTGACCAAGCTGAACACACATTCTCATTCATATTAACACCCTGCTTCCTATATCTCCTACTGTGAATACTGTGATGGTTTAGATAAATACTTGGCTTTGATTAATGCAGCAGAGGCCTTAAGTCAGGTCTAACTTGCCCTCACTGAATGGATCTGTCAATTGAGTCACGGTAAGCCTGCTGTTAAACCCTGAGAGGTGGAGAATCCTGGCAGGTAATAACAGCTCTGGTTAATTACTTTAATTACATTACATGTGTGGGCGGGTTGGCAGTAAAGTCATGATCTCACATAACAAAACCAAAATAAATAAATAAATAAATATATATATCAGAAATTTTCAGCACATTATCAAAATAAAGTCCTTTCTCTTATTTGGGGCAGGAATATCAAATACAGTGCAAAAAACACAATGAAAACTTTAACCTTCAATTCGAGAAGCTAGACCCCACATTCCTGAACAACATCTACTACCAGGTGCAGAGAGCATTAAGACATGCATACTGGGAAACAGGTAAAGCTTGACTGAATCTTGTTTTCGCTTAACAAACCTCCAAAAGCTCACCTCAAATCAATACACAGCTCACGTGTACACTCAACACATATTTAAAACCACAGTAGGGGAGGCATTGCATTGACAGCTACATCCAATGATAAAGCAGTTCATGACCACAGGAAAAAGCTAGTAAAATGTGAGCACATGTGTATGGTAAGCAGAGCGAGCAAGCTGTGTGAGCAGCCAAGAATGAGCCAGTGTAGCTCTAAGGCAGGTTTGCAGACGGGGGATCTGATATCATCACCATCATGCTGCTCCAACCCATTTTCTCCTGCCACTGGAGTCTGCTGTCTAGACAAGAGTGGGCAGCCTAGCTACCACTGGCATCCCCAGCCAGATCTCAGACCGCACATGAACGAGAGTGGAGGTGCAGCCCTGAACTTCAGACAAACAAATACCAGCATCATGTAACTCTGTTTGTCTGTACAGCTTGCACTATAACAAATTACAGAAATCCTGTGACCAGCGACTGCGACTAAATACCCTCTATCTAGAGATGCTTAACACTCTGCATTTAAGTTCAAGTCGAATGACAAAGGGTTTTGACTTGAAAACAAGATGGCTATTTCTAGAAATTTCACTGAAGGTGAGTTAAAGAACCATAATTACTGTTACTTTAAACAACACAACTCTTGTGTTCAGCCCAAACCTCAAGTCCCTGAATCCAAAGGCCATAAGTCATAGTCTGAATCTTGTTGAAGCCACTGTATAACAAACAAACCCTGTTGTATCTTGATTTACTGTCACACACCTGGTACTGGCAAGCGCACACACAGCGATGCACGAGAGGATTGTAATGAACAAAAATTAGCTTTGGCAGACATGGCCATAGAGCCTTATCAACCTCTCCCTGTGCTAAGTAGTATCAACAACTCTGGCCTAGTCTGAGAGTCAAATTGAAAGTCAAAAGTAAAGTTAAATTACAGTAGTATGAGCAGGTAACTCAACTGTCCATCTCTGCCTCAAGCTGCACTGTGTAGTTTCAATTCCCTATGAACTAATTTAAAAACCTAAAAAAAATAAGTGTTCAAGTATCAGTTTCTCATTCACATTGATGGGCAGCAAACACTACTTCCCCCAGGAGAAAGACGGGAGAAACAAAGTACTTTCATTTTTGAAAACACAGAATTACAAAGACAATGGAGTCACTTTAATCTGACGCTAGTTGGACACCATCTGCTTATTGGGGAGTCCTCAGAAAATGCTCCAAATAAAAGACTGAGTGATTCTCCCTGGTCCTAGTCCAAAAAACTCTCTTCCCAATCCTTTCATCTGCAACAACTGTGACTTTCAAAACTTTATCAGTGCTGACACTACGGCCCAGTTTGGTGTTGCACAGCCAAAACTTTCAACTGCTTCTGCATGGCTAGAGGCTGAGTCAATGGACCCTCAACTACAAAGATTGTCTTTAATTTCCAATCATATAACCTGGTGCTTCTGTGGATTCTTTCATATACATCAAAAGAGTTACATTCCTTGGCTTGTCCTTGCACTAACAAGACATGATTAATATGGTGATAAAACAGATTAGATTCCCAGGAGGGACACTTGGGAATAAAGGAAAATAAAACTTCAAGATAAAAAATAAAAGACAAGGAAATAGATCAGAGCAGTCATCTTCCTGTGTATAATCTAACCTTTTTGGAACAAAGACCCACCAGGCTTCTGGGCTGACGTGGCCAGCTTCTCCTCCTGGACAGTAGCCTGAACAGGCTCTGGATCTGAGTGCAATGGAACAGCAAGTAATTCCGGTTTGGGGTCATTGTGCATTTCAGGAGGCAGCTGAGTGCCAGGTTCTAGGTCCGTGTGCTTTTGAGCCAGCTGTAGGCTAGTCTCAGTGTCTGTGTGCATGGAGGCAGGCTGAGGGCTGAGCTCTGGGCCAGTATCCATATCCTCTGCCTGTAGCGTCTGCTCTGCAGCGGGAGACCTGCAGTTGGAACAGACATAGTCCTCTCTGGGGTGGATTTCTGCTTGGCCTGAGTTCTGACGCTCGCACTCAAGGTGTAGCCATCTGAAAGGAGTGCAAAGGAATTTAAAGGATTGTTCGACAGAGACCTCTGTGCAATGCTAAAATGTGACATATTTATTACTGCGGTTTTCCTAGTGTTTCCTTAGTGTTACTAGGAAACATGAAAAACAAGATCGTTGCATTCATTATTACATATCAGCGTTATAAACAAGTGTTCATTACCTTTTACAAGTGTGGCAGAATAGTAAGTCTTTGTGATGCTCAGGGTCCAGGATGCAAGAACACGTAGGACAGCATAGAGCAGGGTCCTGGTTTTGGACGCAGTTCTCGCACAGCAGGCTGGTGTGATGCCATTGCCCGCTGGTTCGTGTTCCACATTGGATGCAAACTCTGCAGTTCTGCGGAGCAAAGTAGGCCTTCTCAGTACCATGCCATTTAAAGTCATTCAGACACAATGCAGTATGAATAACAGTGTGTCTGCAATGCAGATTTGGCACTTTCGTCACAGAATGGGAAATAAGCATGAAACCTCTCGAGGCCCATAGTGAGTTTGTGTACATTTAAGACTCTTTCCAACAAAATTTATGAGGCAGTACTGGGGAATAAGACTGAACTAGAACTACCGCCTTGTGGTTGTATGCCTCTGCCAACCAATCAAGTGGCAGGAAATATGGTCACAATCTCCCCTTCTTGAGTTACGGTGTTGAATAATGGTCAGAAGTCATTTTTAAATATATAACAATATGAAGTCAAATGGTCATCACTTCTTCATTTTATCCTATTAGACATTTGTGCTACATTTAGTCATAATTAGAGTATAAATTATGGAGTTATGCCCAAAAATGTGTTTAGTCAGGTCATGGTGACCTTGACCTTTGACCACCGAATGCTGATAAGTTCATCACTGAATCCAAGTGAACGTTTGAGTCAAATTAGAAGAAATTCCCTCCAAGCGTTCCTGGAATATTGTCATACAGACGAATGGACGGACAACCTGAAAACATAATGCCCGCAGCCACGGCTGTCGCGAGTGCAGAGGCATAAAAATAACATCAATATTTTCAGAGCTTCATGGAATGAATTTACAAGGCAATGCTCTAATCAGAAGGTTCATTTAGAGTAGCTGGTTCTGAGTAGATGCCATTAGATTTACACAGAATAGTACAAATAGTCTATTTTTGAACATTAACACTGGTATCAAAATAAATAGGTTTCAACTACATAGCTGCATAAGGGTGTGACATAATGTTACAAATGATCGTCACTTGAAATCTAAGCAAGCTGTCAAAATATGGAGCACATCTATGAACTTTTTCGTTTTCTGCTTCGTCTTAAACCAATTTCATTCTGTTGTTCTTTCGGTAAGCAACTTGACAAAAAAATTTTAAAATACTGCTTTACAAAAAATACTGAACAGTTTTGTTGACCATAGTGCTGTGAGCAACAGAACCACAGAGTGGCACAAGCAAATAAATACCAGCATTTTTTGATGATCCACATTGACAGCATGCGCCAGCAAGCAGAGCTGCTTTGGGTTTAAAAAAAAAAAAAAAAAGTGATCATTTGGTTTCTATCTCAGCCGCATGCCTTATAAGTTTCACTGTTCATTTAAAATGGCACTTGGACTTCAGTATTTTATTCATACTAGAAATAAATAGAAGCTGCCCAAAACACTATATATTTAAAAAAAACAACAACAATAAATGAACAATTAATGTAAGGCTACTAAACATACTCTAAGCAGCTGTATTATGAATGGAAAACATCTCTGTAGTGTCTTTGTCCTCAGCAAGCTTGTGATAAAATAACATAATTTTTAAGATCATAGAATAATTATGAGAATTATCATAGTGCTGGTTGTTTCCAGTTGTTCTCCTTAATTTCCGCAAGAGAAACTCATAAAACTTGCACAGGAAAAATTCTCCAGCCCTTGCTCTCTCTCAGCAAAATAGTGACTTTGCAGTGCAGTAGACTAGCCAGCCACTCAGCTTGAGTAAGCTTTTTTCCCCCTCAAGCAGAGCCTGCCATTCTGGAGCTCATACATGGCAGACGACATGAAGAGGAAGATGACAGAGCATTGAAACTGGAACTATGACTCATTTTCATTGATCTCTACTTCACCAAGACAATTGGACTCAGAACAAAACCACAGTGTGAGTGGGGACAGAGGTTGGGGGCTGGTGCTCAGGAGAGGCAAGTGCCAAAGATGTGTGTGGGCTGTGTTCCTCCTGTGCTGAGTCAGACAGAGAAGCAAAATGTGAAGACCTTTCGTCACCTGCTGCGTCTATTACACTGGCTTCCTCCGACTGCTGCAGAAAATTGGGCGGTGGGTTAACCAGCTGCCTGAGTGACAAGCACGCCATTTACGCTGCTGGAGGATGAAGGGCGGGGCTGCTCTGAGAGATGCGTATGATTAACATGCACCCGCATGTACACACGCACACACACTACATTATCTTACAGCACTGAGGCTGAACTGAAGCCTTTAAAGATCAGCCAGTGTGAGTCATTTCTTAACCACAGGAAGTGCACATATAAACCACCAAAAAGGCATATTCACATGGGTGGTAGACATTTTACTCACACAGAATGAAGATTCATATCTCGAAAATTTTTCCAGTGAATATTATTGTCCACTCACAGCGGGGATTTTGTGTTGCAGTTTGCTGCAAAATCATATCTGATAGAAAGAATCTGGGCATCATGTATCAGTCTGGAAAATTAAGCCTCTTTACATATGAGCCAGAATAACCTTTGTTTTGGTTTGTCTTTAATGAGCCATCCAGCATCATATGAGGTCTTTCCTACCTTACATCTCCATCCATTGGTGGGAAGAGAGTCCATAGCAGGTTGCAGACAGAAGGTATGGTAGCCTTTGTCACACATGTCACACACCAGCATTTTAGTGTCCTCTCCTGGATTCCTACATAGACAGAGAGAGATAGAGGTTGTGTGAAAAGAGACAATAAAGGACTTTGATATACTGCACAAAGCTAGACAGGATTTAATTTACAGTAGTCATAGTTGTATTGTTTCTTTTTTTTGGGATTGTCATATTTAGGTTTCCTAACATCCCAGGCAAAACAACATTAGGTGTATTTATACATATATACATATATATACATATTTATATACTTTTGCCAGAAGAACAAGAAGACTTGCTGAGCACACTGTCTGTCACTTACTAACTGACTACCCATTGTTGATAAACACATACACAAGATGATGCCTGCATGCAACAAGTTGTCCTGATATATTCCATCCTATGTCAGAGTGATTATCTCTGGAGAACATTAAGAAGCCTTGTTATACATTTAACTAGTAAAGATTTATCCATTTCTGTCCCTACATTGCTGATTACATTAGTGTTTCACGTGGCTATGGTAATGGTTTGATGATTATTGTGACAGTAATTTCACACATAATGTCTATCCTCAGTCTGTGATTCTGCTGTTAGTCTAGCAATGCAATTTTTAATAGTCAGTGAAGTTGGCGAACACAGCTGGTTAACAGAATCAATAATCTAACATTCTGATTGTTCTGTATAAGAAAGATAAATGCAAGACTGTAGTGCTTGCTCCTGCAGAAATGTTAGTATGCTAAAATATTAGCCTAGCTGATATGTAGTAGCTCAGGGCATGTAGCGGTGCGTCATGGTGTGCGGGGGTGCTACATCTCTAATTGTAGGGTTGGGAATGAGTAAGGCTGAGGAACTGGTTGAAAAAAGAAAAAAAAAAGAAAAAAAAAAAAAAAAAGAGCGCCTGACTTTTTTTCTGGCCAACACTGGATGTCATTTCCATTATTTTCACTTCCATAAATATTGGTAAGTTTTACCATTGGTGTAACCACAATAAAAGCCATGTTGTGCGTGTTGTCCAACCTAAACCATTTAAAGGAATCAGACAATTTGGAACCAGTCTCTATTCCCATCCATCCATCACAGTTTGTGACAAAATATTGTGAACCCCATCTCATCTTGAAAAATACCATGCTATCCATTAACATCATGCAGTACTAGGGTTTCTATGTAAATATGAAACTGAAAGCTCGATGGACAATGTTCACCTAAAGCAAACAGGCCTGGTTGCTAACAGATCTGTGCTGTTTAAATAAGGTCAGAGGTTATAAGACAGAGCTTCAGGGTACAACATCCAGTTAGCTGCTCACAAACCTCCGAAGTAAACAAACCAGCAGTGATCATCATGCCCGGCAGCTATAGAGAAAATTAGTAGGAAGAACAGAGAAAGATAGAAAACAGTAGAAAAACATTCAGTATGAGATACATTATTTAGGGGTCAGGAAGGTGACTCACTTGCATGTCTGGCAGATTTTGCACTCAGGGCACTGCCAACCTGCCCTCCTTAGAGGGGTCACGGCCATGTCCAGGCACATCCCATGGTAATGCTGACCACAACTGGTGCAGAAGAGCTGGTCCAGTAGGTCCCCCGGGCTATCGCATAGTGCGCAATTTACATCATCTACAACTATGGGCGGGAAAATGAAACAGAGACAGGCTTTGAGTGGGGGAAATATGGGAGATAAACTTATTACAAACAGTGCAGTTGATACAATGAATCAAATCTCTAAGTTATTTTTACCATAGCTTTTAAATTCAATTTAGTGTACCCAATTCCCCCATTCCCCAACCCCATCTCTACCCAACTTACATTTGTGAATGGCCAATTCAATGTGTTCTGGGCAGAGGAGCGAGAGACTCCTGATATCCTGAAAGGTCCCAGCTGCCCCCGCACAGGGGTAATGGTAAAGTTGAGCACATCCTTCAGCACAGCACTTAATGGATGCTCCAAGGCGCTTACAGTATGCACAGTGCTGCAGAAAGAGAGACATCACAAAATAAGTCCAAAATGTCTTTGTCCTCATCTAAAATGAATAATAAAAAAAAAAAAACCCCAAGGGAACAACAAACTCATGCCCACAGCATTTTTTATGAGTGACTTATCTTATGGCAAGTCCTTTATCCTTTAATGTCTCTTTGGAAAAAATAGTCATCTGGTTTCTCAGCTCAGGATGAAGACCCCTGTTTAAACCCCTGTTTTGGTCCCCTGACGATCAGACTGCTGACAGATCCTCATACAGCTCCTATTTCTCTCAGTTCTACGAGTGTGCACTAATAGCCACTCTGGAGATGAAGTAGAAGACTCGCTGATGGGCTACACGACCAATGGGCTGCAAACGCAATCGGAGAGCTGTGAGCTGTGCCACCGCTAACGCTAGGAGCTAAGCTGCCATGAGAGCTCAGCCCTGTTGAGTGGCGTGACCTTTTCCATTTCACAGCTGAGAGATCCACGCTGCCGGGCCGACCTTTACCAGCCAGTCTGATCCATCAGCTTTGCTGTGCCTCACTGAGGCAGACCCTCCCTTCTGCCCCAACACATTAAGATGGTGTTAACACCTATTAGTCCATGGATGTTCTTCCCTGACTCACCTTTGTGCTCCCTGAGTCAATGGCTCTGTCCACATTAAGCAGAGATTGTCCCTCGCCCTCACAAACACCTTCGGACCACAAGGCACAACTCTGATGTGCCCAGCATTGCCCTGAAATTTCAAAACATAAAAGATGTGACGATGAAAGACTCAGAGTCAAATTAATATATCTAAACTCACATCAACATATAAAGCATTTAAAGATGATGCAAACTTATCTAAATGTTAACTCTCCATAAAGGTTTAGTCTGTTGGTATTACCTGACTCAAAGACAGACTGGACTTTAAGATCTTGTGGAAGGCCGACATGAGAAAGCTCATCCCAAAATCGACTGGCTGGGTCTGGTTCTTCCTCGCAGCTTTCAGACCCGCTGAAACAAAGGAGAAGGTTAGCAAAGAAAACAGGGCAGCACAGGTTTTTTTTAAAAGAAGAAGACAGCTAAAAGATTTGCTACGCAAGAGATGGACAGAATGAATCAACTTAAAAATGAATCGAAACCAGAGAAATAAAGGGTAGAGGACGATGTGCAGTTTTTACAAAAGCAGAGAGATGAAGACAGAGAGAATGAGCTGGGGGAAAAATGTTAGAGAGCAAATAAAAAGCTGTGGGGGAGGAGGGAGAGGAGGAGGAGGAAGAGGGCCATCTTGTTTGGCGTGTGCACAAGAGGCTGGCTGTTCTGTCTCATAAAATCTGTTGAAAAGGATGTGTTTCTCTGAGTCCCTGGCTTGAACTAGTGAGCCGCATAGCATGCGGAAAATGTGGAGAGGGAGCATTAGCATTTAAAAAGGACCTAAGTTCCAGTAAACAAACCAACGGCCAAAATCAAGAGACTGGCTTCTGGAAGCATGATGGCACAAACATGACAAATAGCCCTGACAGCTTGTTGTTTAGAGCCAAAGTTTCATCACCAATTATGAAATGATCTTCTCCCACCTCCTCACATTTCCACAGTTTTCCCCTTTGTCCACCATCACTGCTTCTCTGACAAATCAATATATAATTTCTCCCCCTGCCCTGGGCTCCCTACTCTGCCATTGCGTGGCTCAACCGAGGGCTGGCCCCAATGACCAATCGCACAGCAACAACACAACAGCTACTGGTTGGCTTGGCCTGCTGCCAGACCCGTACTGCTCACACTGCCGATTACGTCACTGGGAGCCCAGAGAGACACCCAATTGGTTCCAAAGGACCAAAACAAATTAGGCAGCTGGCCAAAAAGTGTCCGAGGAGGGTCCTTTGTTGGCACAGTGTGCACACATGCAAGCGCTCATGCATGCACGCACGCACACGCAGACACAAACGCAGACATACACACACGCAGACACACAGACACACAGACACACAGACACACACACACACACATAAACACACACACACACACACACACACACACACACACACACACACACACACACACACACACACACACACACACACACACACACACACACACACAGAGGAGAGATTCATGTCACCTGATGTGGCATCCCTGAGCTCAGGGCACTGACAGATAGTATGCCCGCTAACGCAAGGTGATAATTTAGCCTTCAAATGTAGGATGACAACACAACCTGCTAACTGAGGGATGCCCATTGGCTTGTGCAGTCTGTGTAGGTGTGGTAGGTGATTGTGTGAACGGGTGAGTTTGTATGTAAAATTGTGGGCATTTAGTAACAAGTTTATTACCATTTTAAAGAGGATTTTCACCCAACATAAAGCCAAAGTAATTTTTTTGCCACAAGTAAGACTTCCCCATAGCGTCTGCTATTTCCCCACCAGCGTTAAGCTTGTACAGGAACTCAGGACAACCAAACAATCAGTGAAGTGAGGCCATAAGCAAATTCTGATTTCATGCAGCTCATTAACTTCCTACAGGGAGACACCACAGACAACTTTGCTGTCCTGATCAACACTGACAGCCAAACCATTTGTGACAACACTGTCAGCCAAGCCTACTTACTTTGTCTTTTCCCTCGGTCCTGAGGTGGTCTCTCCAGTCATTTTTGGCTGAGTGGTTTTATCACCATCAATGCTATCACTCGTCGAGCCTCCTCCACCCTTGTGGCTGAATAGTGCTTCAAACTGAGGCGTGGTGCAGAATACTTGCAGATCCCCCTGACCCAGTAGGCTACGGCCACCGCAGTAACAGAAGGCACAGAGTCGCTCACTGAAACAAAGAAAATGGGTGGTAGGGGGTGTTTAATTATATATACCTACTGTGACTTAATACAGTGCCATGCATGTCACCATGAATTAAGGCCCCCTTTTTATGGCATTAGGACTGTCTGGGCACAACAGACATATAAACACACAACGCTTATGTGTGTGAGGCAAACGCTTAATTTTAACCACATAAAGCAGTTAATTCAGCATGATTTTTTTGTGAAAGACCTGAGTTGGAAACAAAGACCATCACCTTACACGCATAACTGGTCATGGAAATGTTGCGTATTCCATGTGAGAAAGGCTTTTTAGAGAAGAGTGGTAAACAAAGAATAGTAGTCAAGAGATGGAAAGTTGAGAAATAAAACGTGCGGTAAATATTTATCACATTTGTAAGTGATAAGATGGCCTTGTTAATAGGATCCCCTAGGAAGCTGCTGGTCTGCCCTCTATCACAAACATCAATAGCAGAGACAGGCCAGAAGATTGATTATAACCTTTAACAGAGTGACACCTGGGAAGAGAGTGCTGCCTTAACCAGCTGATGACTCCATTTGAATCCATTCATGCATGTGCACAGAGCAAAGCAAACAGCATGCCACATTGCTGGACACAAATGCATAATTGCATACTAGTGCCTGTGCATGTAGCCATTCATATAAACACTTTTTAAAAGCACTCTCAAGACTCTTCATTTCTCATTTAACTGTGGTCCGGCGGAAGTTTAGTGTTTCTAACCTGCTTTTGACTTCTCTACTTGCTGAGACAGATGGTCCTGCTGAACTCTCGGCTGGAGGGCTCTGGGCCAGAGGGGAAGAGGGCTTGTCCTCCTCTGGCACCTCACTGGCCACCACTTCCACAGTTTCCACTGGCTGGATTTGTGTTTCTGATGACAACAAAAAAATTAAATGATCAGTTTGTCAGTAAACAATTTATGAAGCATTACATCCCCCCCAGTAGATCAGTGAGTATTACAACCCATTCCACACTTGCCTCTATGCCATTAGTTGCTCTTCAATTCATTGCCAATTATTACTGTAAAATCAGCATGCAGCTTCTGGCTGATACAAGCTGTCATAGGGCAGGTTGACTGCATTCTAGTCAGTTTCCTCCAGGTCAAAAACACAGCCTTTATTAGTGAGAAGGATGGTAAAATATGGGGACCATATGCTCAAGCACTGATTACGGTAAACCCACTGGGAACATCAAGCTCTGGTACAGAATAGTAATAACAACAGAGGCATGGAAAAAAAACAAGAATTATGGCTGCCAAAATGTCTCAAGAAGTGAGGTTTAATATTAATGGGGAATATTTTGCCTGAAATACAACTCAACTCAATTTTGTTGCTATCATGAGTGCTTTTGATCTAAATTACAAAAAAGGCCAAGTTCACCATACTAATCAGGCAAAACAACTCCCAAAAGTACCGCTCACTTAGACTTTGGGCAATGTAACAATTTTATTAACGTTACATTGCGATGCAATTAGGCTAATACCGTAATGATTCAGTGTCATCCAGTGGAATTACACAAGGACAAATTCAAGCTCATTACCTCCTAATAACCAAATCTACCTGTGAAAGGCTTCTTACAGTCTTGGCATATGAGTGAGGGATGTAACCTTTGTTTTTATAACCTAATATTTAACAATATTGTGATTAAGCATTTAATATGTCACTACAACTTTCAATGTAAAAATGTGTTTAAATATGTGGTTACCAATAGTTTCAAGATTTTTAAACAGAAAAATCAGAACAGAACACAGATATTTTCTGCTTGACCTCAGCTGCACAAATATCACTTTAGGGACAAGACCATATAGAATCGTAGATTTCATTTTGCCAAAAGCCTGGAGGCAGAGAGAGCCATTGAGGTAACCACTGGGGTTTAAGTGGACAAGGGAGTAGCCTAAAAGACAAAACCCAATAATGGGTTCTTTCATTACAGATTTTTTTTAACCATATGTTTTAAAACTCATAAGAATTGGCTGTTGTTGGTGTAAGGTAAACTACAACTAATAAAAGAAAAGCTAGCCACTGGCAGAATTTGATTCCCCAATATCTCCACCACAGCAACAGGGCAGCACTGAGATGTATGAGAATGGGAGGCATGGTCACATGATGTGAGATGTACACATAAAAAAAAAGCACATAAATGGGTCTGGAGAGACTGATGGGATTTTAAAAAGCTTTTAGAGGGCATTAGCCTTGGGCTCTTTCCCACTGCACCTCAATGCCAATCTCAGAGCAGGAGGAGAGATGGAAGCAGTAAGGGGTGAAAAAAAAAAAAACACACCCACTGCAGCTTCACAGCTCAAGCTAAACCCTTTCAATTATAGCCCTGAAGTAGAAGCATGAGGTGCCAAGAAAAAAGCTCTCATCTATTCTTTTCCAGGAGAGGGAGACTCCTTTACCTTTACCGAAATATCCTCTGAAGCACTCTCTGCATGAGGCTGCCTGGATGTGCAAGTTCAAGTCTTATATCACTCCCAACAGAACCAACATGTACATAATGGATCAAAAAAGAGCATCGCAGAGTCTCACCTGTGTCCTGAGGGCCTACGGACTCTGTTATCTCAGTCCCATCCATGCTGTCCTCCTCATCCACAACAACTCTCCCTCTGGTGCGACCCCTAGGGTGAGGAAGAAAAACAAACAAATAAACAGAGGAAGTGAAAAAGAAAAACACAAGGAAAAGTGTCTGGGTTCGTCTCAAGAGAGGGGGTAGCGATGTGGTCATAAATTAGTTAAATATAGTCACAGCTGTCACTGATTTTTAATGGAGGCACTCAAGCCGCTGGGCAAGGCAGTAGGGCAATAGATTGGGGGTGGGGGTGGGGGTGGGGGGTGGCTCAATACAGACTGGTTGTACATGGATTTTAAAGATGGAAGATGGCCAGTTTGGATAACTCTGCTCTAAACATCCAGGTAACTGGGAGCTAAAATAAAGAGACACTGTGGCATTCATGTAACGCAATCCACAAACCAATCAAAATGTATTGCTGCTCGCAACGCCAAAATTAAGACCCTCATGTTCATCTTCAGCGCAACTTGGAACAAGTACCTTTATCATTTCCCTTGAGGAATAACAACTCATTAGAGTCTAACTGAACATGCTCTTATTGAATTTCAAATCAGAACACAGACATCACTTATTATGTGATAATAGCTCTGTAATTTAGAAGACCACAAACAAATATCTCATCATGAATGTGAATGAGTCATGTTTCAAGTTTTCAATAGTCATATGCTCAGGATTATTTGTGCAATCAAGAGCGGCTGCATGTATATCACATAACAATATAAATGGGCATTATTGATTGAAGCTTTGGATGAAACCAATGACACAGAGGACAACACAATTGTTTAAATCATGTTTCTGACTATGTTTTAGTGTTTTTTGTTATCATTCCGAAACTAAAACTAAAGGGAACAATTGTTTATGAGACTGAAAGCAAATTCCACCAAAATTCATTCTCCTTTCATACTGACACATTTGATTATTATGGTGTTTAAAGGGAAAAAGGGAAGTCCATGGATAGGTAACTACTGTTCTAATGATAAGGAAAGGGAACAGAATTACCATGATTACACATACTTAAGATACATTTCTGAATACATGAAAATATCAGCCAATAAACACACAGACACACACACACACACCCTCTCATTATCATTTGTAATAAACAGCTACTACTTGAGGTATGACAAAAAAAAAACATCACAGCTGGGTTTGTAGATACATCAGTAATACGGTGCTGGTTGTTTTCAGCACTGCAGCTTTGTGAAAAGGTCAGTGCTCTAGTTAATTTTCCACTGACTAATGCAAAGTAATTAATAATAAATAATAATAAATTATATTCAGTCATTTTTAGAAGGGCCAAGCTGAGATTATAAGATACAATTTATCACTGCCCTGCAACCTTGTCTTTAAAGACAAACAATTTATTACTATGATGCACTTTACATGTCTGAAGTAATGATACTGCTTTATATACATAATGGCGTTAAAACAAAGTGAAGACACTGTCATGAAAAGCTTTACCCAACTCGATCACTGTTTTTTTTCAGATTCGTGATCTAATATTTATTCTTTATTAAATAGTTCCTGATATAAATGAAAATGTTTCCAATTATAGACTATTTTATTTGGGCAAAGTTCTTGGGCAGCTAATTGTGTTTAGATAACGTTTCACTTTCTTTTGAGAACTTTAGTGCCTTTTGTTAAAATGAAAACGTCGACATTTCCAACCATATGCCTGTGTGACAACTCGTACAGATGCACATACACCAGTCCATACCCGTACGGAGAGATCTGTCAGCGTCAGCATCCGCCAATGGGAGCTATGTTAACCAAATCTTGGAAGCGCCATGTGGAGGGGATAATTGTCATGGATACAAATTAAATAGCAACGTCAAGTAATGATGTTGTGGGCAAGGGGGGGTGGTGGTAATTTTCAATGCCACTGGAGAGAAAAATCACAAATGGCTGGATGCCAAATCAACCCCTCCCTCTTAATGACTTCCATGTCAAGATAAGGAGCAACCCAAAAACCCAAGAATGATAGAAGAGGCCTCTAACAAACCTTGGCTAAACACATAATTACCTGTAAGCATGAGTCAAACATAAATATGCTAATAAGGTGGAAACAAACGATCAAATCTTAACAGAGAGCTCTTTTCATGTTGTTGAGCCAAATATGGGCTGTCTTGCTGCTTTTGGATCACACTGAGAATTGCACATGACAGAATCTGAATTTACACAATCGTCATGAGGAACAGGATTTTTTTTTCCACAATTAATTATAATTGATGACTGAATGTGATATTAGAAAAATAGACCAAGAAAAACAACTGCGACAAATCAGTTGTGTGAAACATCTGCACTAACAAGCAAAAGAATCAAAAACAACTTATCAATATACAGTTTGTAATAAATCTTAGATGCAAAATTTGACAAAATCAACTCTCATTAAATTTCTCATTAAACTATTGAAAGTCTTTGCTCAATGTGCTACTGATTATGAGACAAGGAGCTTGAACAGTGTAAAAAATAAAATCAATGAAGACTGCAATTATGTACATTTTCAAAACTGTACTGCACCTGATAAGCATATGTAAGCAGGTCAGACAGCTACGTACCAGGACCAAGCTAAAAATGTTTACCACTGCAGCAGAATAACAAACCTTTTACATCTTTCAGCCATATACTTACCACACCTTCTGTATCACAGGCTTTCCTTTACATTTACATAGCAAACACTTTTACTGTCTATAACTAATGACATTTAAGTAACTGTGTGTGACATTTTCATCTATGACCACAATCTAGTGTATACAGACAAAGTAGTTGGTGGTGACCTCTTTACATAGACAGCTACACAACATTCAACTGTAATTACATATAACTACGCTAAAGCCATCAAATTTCAGCACTGAGACAGCCAGTTATTTCACTGACAAATGCTCAAGACTAACATTCAACCCCATACCCTGCACAACTTACCCCCTTCCCCTCCCCTCCCTCCATAGTCCCACCACAGGGAGAGAGAGGAAAAAAAAGAAAAGGTGAAAATAATGCCATGGTAAGTAGTCCCAGCCAGCAGACTGCTGCCTGGAAAACCTGACACGGATCAATGCCATTCTGAAATGGACTGAATAGCAGATGGAGCGTGGGCAAATCGAGTAAATTCCAACAACCAGGTCTAGCAGAGCGATTTATGACACATCTTCCTTTGTCACAAGCAAACTGGCTTTTACAACACTTAACACTGGTAATTTTAATATTTATTTATACATATTGCTTATATCCATTAGAAGAGGCAGCCAGTTTGTCTGAACACAAAACTGAGAGAATGTTGTGATTGAGCATAGTGTGTCACATAATAGTGTAGTTTGGTCCCTAACCTGCCAAACAGGTAGTTTTAAAACAGGGCCATGCATTTGCCTTTTATTTTTATGAGCATTTTTATTAGATATTAGGGTGTACTGAATTAGCTGAAAGCCCACAGGAGGTACAACCTGAGGTCCATCCTCAAAGCTCTGATCATTGTTGAGAGTTGGTGGAGGTAGAGGACTATTGAGCTTTCTGGAGGTGCTGTGTTTCAAATTCAATGAATCTGAGATTAGATAAATATTTGTCGATATGGGCTCAGTAACTGTGATAACCATTTCAGCATTTTAATCTACAGCCTTATCACAAACCTGTTTTTACACAAGCCCCTACAGTCTTAATTCTGACCACGACAACACTGACCATAACAACAACATAAAGAACCACATGAGAAGCTCATTTCTGCTGATGGTTTGTTCTTGACCTGTTCATCAACATGATGCAATTCAAGTCTGTCCCAGGTCATCCTTCCACTGTGGCATTAACGCATCATCTGGATGCTTGCAGATTAAACGATCCATTGGGAGGCAGGGTATTAAGATTGATTGAGAGGACAGACTGAGGAGAGAGTTAAGAACCTTGCGGGCATTTTATAACAGAGCAGCTCTAAGCTGCATTATATGTTGCTATGGGAGTCACAAAGAACCCAGGTATCTTGTACAATGCCTCATAAGAACTTTCTGTTGGTGTTACCTAGAGCTGCAGTGGAACTGTAATAAACCCTATATCAGAAGGACTTTTAACCATAATTCCTACCAAAAAACCTGCTGCCAGCTAAATGACCTGGTCAGGACCAGGCAATGCTAGAAACACCAACAAATATTCTGTATTCCACCAAGAACACCATAAATTTGCCACATACTGTATACTAATCCATGTTACACTAGTTCTCAGAAATGTAGACAATGAGCTGTAGTAATTGAGGGCAGATAAATAAATCTGCCAATAAGAAAAGACACATGATAAGGTGTTCTAAATTTTCTAGATCATAGATTTTGTAAAGCTTGTTTGTAGTCCATTCAACCCATATTTGTTCAGGTTTACTAAGGTTAATTTAATATATGATGCCTCCTGAGCTGATGTAGAATTGTGGCCATAACTTTGTTTGAAATGTTTTGATACATAATTTAAACAGACAGCTGTCCCATACTGGTTTTTGGGTTATGTGCCCGGTTCAATCTTGTTTCACACTCAAGAATGGTGAACTTTTAAGAGGGAATAATTTTAAAATGTCATTCCCAAGGGAGTGTTTTCATGGCTCCATACATGAATGGCAATCTCAATGCGTCAAACGCACTACTGCCTACTTCTATATCAAATGGACAACCCTAAATATGGGGACAAAGTGTAATGGGCCTGACACCTGGCAATGGAAAATTACTGAGATATATATACATATGTCAGTATATATACATATATATTTTTAAATCCACATTATTTTAGCAGCACAACAAAGTCCTACTAATTCAAGGAATGAAAATTCCCTCTGCCATAAAAATACAAAATCATTTCCTTGTTGAGGTAAAAACCTACTTCTTTCTGTTCTTAGGCGTGGATGAGGGTGGTGCCTGGGGTAGGATGGCAGCAGCATCCTTGCGTGGCCTGCCACGTGGTCGCTTGTCTGCGTGGGCAGGACTTCCTGTGGACGTGGCCCCTACACTGCTGGAGGGCGGTGAGGGTCCCTGGTCAGAGGGCTCCACAGTCTTATCCTCTGATGACATTCTAAAAAAAATGGTAAGAAAGATCATGATAGGTGTTTCAATGGCAGGTAACATAAGCTTGGAAAATTAGCTCAACTATTTAAACACGAAGAGAAAAAGTAGGTTCTGATTTTCCCCCCATTTGATTTGATATTCCTAAAAAGAATGAATAGGAAAAAGATGACATTTCATGGGAAAATTCAAACCCTTAATGGTAGGAGAACGAACCTGGGTTGCAACTTCTTTCACTGAGCTATTCAGATGTCAATATATTTTCAAGCATATTTAACTCTTTAACTCTAAGACTCGAACAACCTGGAGTGTCTAAATGAAGAGTTGAGGTAGGCTGTAGCCTGTTCAATGGCTTATATTTGATAATGTGCACTTTGCTGGAAATCATTTCTGATAAATTTTCCCAAAACTTTATACTTTTCTTAGTTCTACTTGATCCTGTGTCACCAGGCTAAAACTCCCTGGGCATCCATCTTGGCAGTGGAGACACTTAGTAGTGATCTCATTCGCTGGGTTTGAAGCATCTTGAATGCTGTTTACATGCCCATGGTGCATTACCTTTTATCCAACCTGCAATTCCTGCATTTCTTGCAGAAAAACCCTGTACACTTAAAGTTGAAAAATGTTCAACTCTGAGCAGAGAAATGTTCATCAGCTTAGCGTTCGACCAATGTGAGCAAAGTGGAGTGGCAGCAATTCCACCTCTTTCTCGAAGCTTTCTGCAATCACTCCACATCCAGCTGCTCCAGGTTTTCTATTTTGCTGCAACCCACCCACTAAAAGAAAACCCACTACAAACCACTCAATGGTACATATGGTGAATGCTACCCTTTAGCTGCATTTTACAATGTGAAGTGAAATTTAGAGGTGGCCCAAGAGTGCACTGGAAAAACAATGGTAAGCTGAAGATTTACTTAAAGTTGTGCAAACCATGGTTGGGTGAAATAACAACATGATAACAAAAATTTGTAAAATGCAAACATTTTCTATACCAGTCGTATCATATCTTTGGCCATTGTGGATAATGTTGCAAAACCAGTAAGAAGGACTGCCATATGACATTGTGATTGAAATTAAGTGAAAATGTCCATTGGCTGCTTGCATCAACACTCCAGCAGGCAAACTCACACAAATAAAGCCAGACAATAAATGTATTTGCATTATACGTCAATACAGTTTTTTCATGGGATGACATACCCACTTTACACTGCTGGCACAATCATGCCACTCTGCACCTCTCACATGCCCCAGTCTGATGTCTAAGTCTATGTCTAAAATAGGGGAAGGCCTTTCTTCCTTTAGGTGTTGGGGGGGGGTATTTTTCTGACTATCCTGTTTTGTCAGTATGATTAGTCAGTATTGTTATTGACCAAATGAGTGAGTTCTTGTGTTCTAAATAGAAAACAAAACTTTATTAAAATCTTATCATTTAGCCACTGAATCTATAGCTGGTGAGGAAACACGTCCTGCAAACCAAGTACTGCAACCACATCCTAATGTTGACCCACTGGCCATTTCCCTTGGATTTCTGACGGTATTTTATGCAATTCAATTGCACTGTGAAAAACTCACCACTGCAACTAAAACCCAACAATAGGTCCCAAATTAAAAGGAAAACTAATATTAACTGCCTTAATAAGGTGTTGGGCCATCAAATGCTGCCATAGCAGCTTCAGTTCATCTTGGCATGGATTCTATGAGTCTCTGTAACTGAACTGGCGCGATTCTTTCATTCTTTCACATTCCTTCATTAAGCAATTTGATGATGGTGTTCGACTGGTTTTAAGTGCGGTAAGTATAAAGGGTACATCGTTTTGTGCCCTACCCTTTGCCCTGTATGAAAGCCTCTTTGTTTGTTATGTTTCTAAACCCATTTACAAAAAGATTTTTCTTTTAATTTGTCACCTGTCTGTATGTTTTCTGTTCATGTGCTGAGCAAGCTGCTATGAAAGGTGTACTTGGTCAGTGTCTTGTGAACATCAACTTTCTCTCAACAAGGCAGCGCAGTTAAGACTTTGTGCTGTAAGCACAAGTATTTTGTTCATCACTGAGAGCTAAACTGTGACATGATAAATAAAAGTTTATATAAATTAAGATTTGCACCAATTTATAGTTTTGGGTGGGGTGTGCCCCAAAACATCAAATTGTAAGTGGTTGTTTCCAGTAAACAAACTCAGAAAAGAAAATTGTGTCCTGCCCAGCCCTTTATGACAAAGGTCCAACACCAAGTTGATGCATTTCAGCTGTGTTTTTTAATTGACCATCTCATGTGCATCTGACAAAACAGACTAGCCACATTTTTGCTCCCATATTGCGTGCAACTGATTGTTTAGGCTTCAAATCTCTTTTTTTGCGACTTATGTGCATGAATCCAATGATTCCATATTGGTCTGCGAGCACTGTCAAAGCGCTAATTTCACATCAGAACCCATTTAGAACAGACAGTGATGATTGCCTGCAGCTGTTGCCGTTGTGCTGCTTTCACTACATAACCACCTTGGTCAAGAACAAAGTTAACAATTGGCTGGTGAAGAAAATTGAGCATCTAGCAAGCTAAAGATTGTGTTTCTTAGAATTCAGTGGAAAAAACAGGTGAAAGGCAAGAGAAGACTGAATGATCAGTACCATCCAATGGTATGCTCATGTTGGTTTGTGTCTATATACGAGTGTCTATGATATGAGCAGGTGACTGTTTGCCAACACATTAGTTATAACTACTTAATAAGCCCAGGTTGTTTCAGTGACTTTGTTTTGCAGTCTTGAAAAAAACTTGCTGAAGGGGCTTTAAAATTAAAATAAACCAAATAGATTATAAAGCTAATTAATATATATATATATAGAGAGAGAGAGAGGGAGAGAGAGAGAGAGTAAATCATAATGATATCTAAAATTGTTCCATTTTTGATTTGACTTCTAATGCATGATTGAATAGTAACATGAGACTTTATGGTTAACCAAGTCTTGTCACCAGGCTGTGATGCAGTATGACAGATGTGAAAGTAAATTATGCTCTAATAAACCTTTTATGATAAAGCTAACTGTGATCCAAACATGTAATTTTCACTTGTTTACCGATAGGCTTAAACCTTAGGGAAAGATAGAAAAAGTACTAATTTTGGCAAAACATCATCCCAGGCACCACCCCTCATCCATCCAGCAGACTAGTTCCAAACAACAAATGCACCATGTATTTACCTACCAGTAATGATTTTTGATGGATCCTCTTTATAAGTAGATGCAAAAATCCAAGACTCTTTCTAACTTGTTTTTCTGTACCAAAGTGTAATTGCATCAGACTACATTGTGACTAATATTTAGAATGAGTCAACTTTCAGTAAACCAGTAAAATAGTAAACCATGGCAAACCTAATTTGCCTCATTACACTGTAACCTTTGCAATGTAGCTTATTGCACATCTGTGGGATGCAGTATAACTGCTGAGGTGATATGTTTGTTCAGCACCACATTACATTAACCTGTTTTTAGCTCATGTTATTGTACTAAACAGTTATTTAAAATCACTAGCACTGGTGGCTAGTCATGAGCTGTGGATTGGAAGGACATTGTGTGGCCTGAACTTATTTCAACAATTAAAGAAGCATTTTTATTCAGAGAGCCAGAAGAGGTCTCAATTTGTAATCTTCGATATTGTGGAAATGACACCATCTTTTGCTGCCGATCTGTGGTAATTCTCTCTCTCTTAATGTCTATATTGGACTCCACCAGCCTCCAGGCTCTGTGCACAGATGGCTGTCCAACAACACCAAACTCCACAAGAAATATTAGTCATTACAACAGTTAGATTGTCAGTGCAATCATCTATAAATTATGAATCTGAGCTTACATCCTTATATCAGAAAGAGGGACTTAGACTGTCCCCGAAACACAAGGTAGAAAATTTAGTGAGATAAGGACAATTTTATAACCAGATTTACAACCAGGTAAGCCTCAATTGAAAGTGATGAGAACAACGATTATTGTTAGGGCATCCGAGGTTAGGATCTGGTGACTACTAGGCAGTCACGACCACCATGGGCACAATTGTAGACATGCTAACGTTAGCTTTTGTTAACTCAAGCCTGGGCACAAAGCAGTTGCATACAGCTAACGATAGCTAGCCTGTTGTGTTGAACTCTGTCGCCTTTTCTTTGACGACCACAGACAAAAGTAACATTGACATCGTCTAGACAGAAAATGCATAAACAAATGGATCCATATTTCATATTTAACTGGCAATGGGAGACTTATTTCGGATTTGAGACACATTTCCCAGTAAACTTTCAAAGAGGTTCACACAGCAAACAGGTTACCCATGGTTGCAGTTAGTTGGCCAACTCATCGCACTGGCTTGTAACGCCTACGCCAAAACACCAAAGATTAATGCTTCAGCCTTTCATTGTCCCACGGCTAACGTTCAATATAATAGTCTTGAGGATGATGGCAAACTTAACTTGTAGCCTTAACCACACTATGCGTTAGCCAACTTCCCACTGGGTACGAGGCAAGATGAGCATTTGTGCCCAACACACACAAAGGCTCGGTCTATTCAACGAAACGGAACTGTTCTGGGGAACTACAATGCTACACAAAAAGTGAAAATGATACGCTATACAATGACGTAAGCTTCAATTTTTGCTTTTTGTTACAAACTAACGATAGTTGTGTGTGACCATTGAGCTCATATATCATGTTTAGCTATTAACATATGATATTATCCTTCTAGTACTGATTATATAGCACCCATGGATCGTTCTATTCAATGTTCCGTTCCGTTTAATAGTCTGAGTCATGAAAGCCAAGGCGGCGACAAACCCCCAACATCAGACTGGAGGTGGATAATGTTGGCTCAGCTTTACTTCAAAAGGTGATTGCCAAACAAATCTAGCTTGCATGAAAAACAATTGAAGTTCTCATTGGTGCTTACCTTCCAGCCCTATGAATAGCGAATTATCCTCTTCATGTCCAAAATACTGGGAGATGAAACGTCGCACTTTTATCACCCAGCTAGCTAGCAAGCTAACTGAGCTAGCTAGCCTCTCTCCAATGAAGCAACACCGCAGTTCTCAGAAATGCATAACGCATATCATTATATTCCAACGTTGCAATGTTATTCCCAACTTTGCCCATTTGATGGAAAGGCGGATGATGTAAATCCAACAGAAAACCGCTTCACTGGCAAACGCATTTGGGGGGATCACTTTCCTTTCTCCAATGACAGCTGTCGTCGCACGAGTTAGGGTTATATAGCTAGTTGGTGTTAGCCACCCAAGTCTACGGCCAACAATTTTACCATTAACGTATGAACAAATCAAAGCCAAAATCCAAGCGGCTGCAAAAGTCAATACTTCGTAAATGAAACTTTAAACGTGAATCCTCAGCGAATGTGCAGCGACGCGCAAAGCAAATGTTGGTTGCCGACCGCTTGGTTGGCAACTGGTTCTATTTTCTTCAGCTGCGACAAGCTGCGGGACCAAGCGGCCAGTTAGGAGACTCTCGCAGCCAGCCTGCCACGCAGTAACAACCGCCTGCCTAGACATGTAAAAACAAACATTAGCTTGCCAAAAACAATATTCCGCCTGCCACACTGGCCGAACTGTGAATTTACTATGAATTATCACAAAATTAAGTTGAAGATGACGCTTCAGCGTACTCTGTAACGGTGGCCATATCTAATGATAAGTGGCACCGAACCACAGCCCCTCTAGGCTCTTCAAAAACTAGATCCACCTCCCACTGCCACAACTACGGCACACAAATCTTTTCAAATCGGTGTGACTCGTCGAGAAAGGGATGTTTCGTGAGTCTGGCAAACGTTTAACAACATCGATAAGACAACATGATAAAAATAATACCACGCAAACCATTTGACAATTTCTTCAAAATACTCTCTGACCCTGCGGAGGGATATGGGCATTTAGTAAATAAAATAATGGCTTGGGAGAGTTCAAAGAGATGGAGCCTGGATTTTGGAGTTGGTGGAGGAGGATTGTCAACCGTTGGTGCTCCAGTTCATGCAAATCTTCGCCGGCAGCAGCAACAGCAGTAGTGACTCCAGCTGTCATCCGCCTCCTCCAGAGCAAGGGGAAACAGAAAAATTATTAACTTTAATATGTACCGTGGTCGTTTAGGACTCATAGAGATACCATGCATTCAGATAGACCACGACCAAATGCATCTTCCAGAGGCTACCCCATCACAACGTCTCCCTCCCTGCTTTGTTTCTCTGTCATACACACTCGTCTGTGCACTGATGCAGGCATTGCATTAAGTGTATGGCAGAGGTAGCCTGCAAACAGGCCGACATACTGTACATGCAGGGGTTAAATTTCGGAAAAGCCCCCAGGGGTCGGCTTCCAGCGGCTGTACATAATATCTTATAGAACCAGTGGGTATCTCGTATTTACGTGTATTTTTCTTTTTTGATCGTTTTTCGTCACGACTTACTGATTCTCTTCGACTGAAGCCCTCAGAAAATTAACTGGAAATAAACATAGCCCTATTCCTTTAAATGGTAAACCTGGTAAACCTTGGCACCTCTTTCCTATAGACTATGGGCTCCCCCTGCTGGCTCATACAACGCAAAACACACAAAGTGTTTGCGTTTTTTTATTATTATATTTTAATTAATAATAATTTGGAGACAATTCAAACAAATCAAATAGTTGTATACAGATGAGTGACAGATTAAAGGAAAATCTGAATAAGTGCAGAAACACAACATATGCAGATGCATCCATAAAGGGCACAAGAGGTCACTGTTTTGATAAGTATAAAAATGAGCATGAATCTCTCCTATGGCCTTCACAGTCATCAGATTAAATCAGATCAGGCAGCGCCAATCAATACATCAATATGAAGATCTTTTGGAAGAATGGTGCTCATCCCTTCAAAGACATTTTTTTTAAAGGAGCACTTTGGTTCTGTAATCAACATTTTAAGCAAAAGTAGAGCAGAAAACAACTATATTTTATGCAAAGAAGTAACGGCGTTCTCAGCAGAGAATGAGGTCACACCTTCATAGTATGTTTTACCTGAATTTCTCTGTTCAGTGTTTTGGTATCTGGTCTGGCAGTGTGTGCATGTTAATGCATGTATGTGTGCATGTTAGTGCACGTGAGCCCCTCTTGTTAAACCCTCCCCAATTTTACAAACACACAGCCACCGTCCACATGCCAGATGACACTGCAGTACACAGCAGTCAGGTGAAAGCTACAAAATTTCTTCCACTGAAGAAAGCACATTTTTCGGCCAAAAGGGCCTCAGACAAAGAAAGAAATAAGACCAGAGCACAGGTGGACTGGCCATTGCTGCTCAATTTCCGGTGGGCTGGTGGCCTATCAAAACATTCATAAAGTTTTTAAAGTTTTTACCGGCTTCATCGGTGTTGATCAGCGGTGCACGACTGAACTTCTTTCCCAGTTCGACTAAGGAGCCAACACTGGTCCGGCTTTATGGAGATGAAGATAGATGAAGAGCCCCATGAGTGTCCAACTTGACTCGAAACAGATCTTTCTTCTCCTTGATATGTGAGTACCTTGATGGCTACACAATGTTACATGTCTGGTTTCATTAGTGACCAGCTACAGAAGGCATGATAAATTAGCTAACTTGCTGTTACCTATATTATGAATGTGTTGGGCGAATGTTGCTAGAGCTAGCTGGCTTATCACGGCAATGCTAGCGTGGGCTAACGTCTGAAGCTAGATTGTTTTTTGTTATGCTTCTTGTTGTGTGTTTAGGGGGAGGGGGGGGGGGGCTATGGTAAGGGGTTAAACAGCACAATTGTCAATGTGTCAGTTTCAAGAAAGGACAACACAAGCTCCACAAGTACAGAGTGGGTACTGTCAGCAGAGTTATTCACCAACATGTTTCCTTTTGAGAAAAGGAAGAAATCCTCACATGTGAGTGAAACTTTACTTTTAGATACATCATAAACATATATATGAAACTATTTGTTTGTCTTTTATAGTAACCACAATTGAGCTTTGGACCCATGGTCAGAATATTTATCTTGTAGTTCAACCCACGGTATAGTTTAGCACTTGGTTTGAACCCTGGGCCTTTCTGTGTGGAGTTTGCATGTTCTCCCTTTGCCTGCGTGGGTTCTCTCCAGGTACTCCGGTGGGTATGTGTGTGTGTTTGTCTCTATATGTCGACCCTGTGATAGACTGGCGACCTGTCCAGGGCGTACCCCGCCCTCAACCAATGTCGGCTGGGATTGGCTCCCACCCACCCCTGTAAAGATAAGCGGTATAGATAATGGACGGATGGATGCAACCCGGAGTTAGTACACTCTTGTGTTATTTTAGTAGAAATTTCAGCTATTTTTGCTTTAAAATTCATGGATTAAGCACAGAAAATGTTTGCTGGAGTTTGGTTTGGATTGTTGTTCATCACCAAATTTTTCATCAGCATTGTGACATGAAATGGAAATAATGCCTGCAGCAACTTTTCAGTCTTGATAGATTTATTTAAGTCAACAATCACAGTTGAGTAAGTAAGAATAGTGTTTGTTGATGTTTCAGGAGTTATGGGTGTTAAAAATACATTCATAAACACTTGACAAATGTCATTACAATAATAATGCTGCTTCTACCTACATTATTGTGTTGCTATTTTTCTGGCGTTTTATGCATTTATTGAGAGAGAGAGAGAGGGAGAGAGAGAGAGAGAGAGACAGTCATCAGTGTTGCCTGATGTCAGCGAAGTGTGAGACACAGTATGGACAGGAGTCCCTTTCTAAAGTATGACCTTTGAGCTGGTGTATGTTTACACCACTAACCACCATTGACCTAATTATCTTGAAACACACCGAGCTGCTGCTTAGTGATGTATCAGTGATACTCTTGTGAGCCTAATTCTGAGCCTAAAGCTGGTGTAGACCTACTGACCTAGACTCAAGACTGTAGTTACTATCAGAGGTGCTCAACACTTAATATTGAGTTGAAGGGACTGAATACTTATGCAATAAATTATCTTATGTTGATACCAGAACTTCATTTAGACAAATTTATAGACTTTGCTTCACTTCACTTCCATGTAGGCTTTTGACATTTTGACATGTCATCATTAGAAAAGCAGAAGTGTTACTAATGACATCATTGATGGCGCTTTTAAAGTGTCCTAGTAAGATGAGTGTGTGACAGTGAGGCAGCATGAACAATACCAGGACTCTCAAACTGAAGCAGCTAAATGGAAATCAGAGATAATTTAATCATTTGCAACTTAGCTTCTCTTTACTGTAAAATGTCAAAATTCATTTTTTAAACTTAAAAAAACCTCCAAAAGGCATTGTACTATGTATTTGTATTTCCACTTAGTATTTGTTGTGGATTTAAACGTCAGTCCTTTACATTATAAGTCACAAATCACCACATGAAATGTATAAACTATGCTGTAAGATTTAACAGCATATCATTTAATTTACATGTAGAAAACAGACTAGAGCAGAGGTTTCTCCTGAAACAATGTCAAAAATGTTCATTTGTTCAGGGTAGAGATGTATTTTGGTAAATTACAGACAGAGGGCAGCATGACTCTGTTTTATACAACACTGGGAATAGTCAAACTGCCAAGTACAGTTCAGCATAAAAAATGCAGTCTGGCTTTTTTCCCTCTCTCTGCCTCACTTTTTTCTGGCCTTTTTTTTTTTTTTTGCCATTGTTTATCTAAATTTTCTGGTGATAAACAATATTCGTAATCAGTTTGTAGTGGTTTTTTTCCTGTACTTGAGAGGCATTCTGTCTATGAGTAAAACATTTCTTTATCGTGAGATATTTGACTGTTAGAGATGAGATGAGCTGCTGGACAAGCAACAATAAGCCATGTGTAAGGTTTTTATGATGTGTCTCACCAAAGCTCCCCATATTCCACAAAGTTTTGCATTTGTTGAATGATGTTCAGGCTTTTTGTACAAGGTAAACTATCGGAACACATTTTACTTATGCACACACTTCTATACGAGACTCTCTGCACCTTTTCATGCTCATCTAAATCTCTACATAAATTTATAATGTAGTTTTATATAATTATAAGTAGACAAATGTGTTTTAATACAGTAAGTCATTTCAGCAAAAATAAAACATAATTACATGCTGAATGGATAAATGCTCGAGGATCTCTTTTCTGGTTGTTGAGCGTAATTGATGCCCTTTGGCTATCAGCA